CATTTTATGACTTTTTTTAACACATATCTATGACTTTTTTATTAACAAATATCTATCATTTTTATGACTTTTTTTTAACAAATATTTATCATTTTTAGGACTTTTTTAACAAAGATCTAACCTTTAAGGACTTTTTTTCAACCAAATATTGTTCCTTTTTATGAATTTCTACTTATCAAATATTTATCCTTTTTCACTTTTTTAATCAATTTCGATCATTTTTATCACTTTTTTATCAAATATTGATCATTTAATTGAGTTTGACCCCCTCCCTTCCAAACACCGGAAATGAATCAGGTTTCCAAAATAACACACAGGCTTGATAAGGATGCTCAAAATGTTATTTAAAAATGTCAAATAGCTCTCGATTTAAATTCCCTTGTTGTCGGAGGCCGTGGATCAGATTTGACTTTCTCAAAAGAAGCAATCAATAAATTCAGTTCATATTGGGAGTGGAGTCGTTAGTGTGGTTGGTAATAACTTCATAATGAACTGCGTCTGAAAGCAGAAGTCCGCGGCAAAATATCTCAAGACTCGTCAGTGTCACAGAATGAGATGCATTGTGGGACATGTAGTTTATGGGCAGCGTGCTCCTGTAGAGCGGCATGTAACCGTATAATAAACGTATTATATTCTTCAGAGCTCTTTCGGAGACACAGAAAATTAAGCGTTGAGTTTGACCCCCCTGATATAAATGGAAGAGAGATATACTCGTAAAGATATGTGCTAAGTTTTCATGACTTTTTCTTGCTTTTTAAAATAATTTAACCAACTTTTATTCACTTTTCTTGCAAATATTGTTCCTTTTTATGAATTTCTTATCAAGTATTCATCATTTGTATGACTTTTTTTAACATCTATCATTTTTATCACTTTATCAAATATTTATAATTTTTAGGACTTTAACAAATATCTATAATTTTTATGACTTTTTTAACAAATATCTATAATTTTTTCACTTTCTTAACAAATATCTATCATTTTATCACTTTAACAAATATCTATCATTTTTATGACTTTTTTTAACAAATATCTATCATTTTTATCACTTTAACAAATATCTATCATCTTTATGACTTCTTTTAACAAATATCTATCATTTTTATGACTTTTTTTAACATATCTATCATTTTTTATGACTTTTTTAACAATATACTATCATTTTTATCACTTTTTTTAACAAATATCTATCATTTTTATCACTTTAACAAATATCTATCATTTTTATGACTTTTTTTTAACAAATATTTATCATTTTTTAGGACTTTTTTTTTAACAAATATCTCTAATTTTTATGACTTTATTTTAAACCACAAATATCTATCATTTTTATCACTTTCATGACTTTTTCTTGCTTTTTAAAATAATTTAACCAACTTTTATTCACTTTTCTTGCAAATATTGTTCCTTTTTATGAATTTCTTATCAAGTATTCATCATTTGTATGACTTTTTTAACATCTATCATTTTTATCACTTTATCAAATATTTATAATTTTTAGGACTTTAACAAATATCTATAATTTTTATGACTTTTTTTAACAAATATCTATAATTTTTTCACTTTCTTAACAAATATCTATCATTTTTATCACTTTATAACAAATATCTAATCATTTTTATGACCTTTTTTTTAACAAATATCTATCATCTATATGACTTTTTTTAACAAATATCTATCATTTTTTATGACTTTTTTAACAAATATCTATCATTTTTATGACTTTTTTTAACAAATATCTATCATTTTTATCACTTTAACAATATCCTATCATCTTTATGACTTTTACACAATATCTATCATTTTTATGACTTTTTTAACATATCTAATCATTTTTATGACTTTTTTAACAAATATCTATCATTTTTATCACTTTTTTTAACAAATATCTATCATTTTTATCACTTTAACAAATATCTATCATCTATATGACTTTTTTTAACAAATATCTATCATTTTTATGACTTTTTTTAACAAATATCTATCATTTTATGACTTTTTTGAACAAATATCTATCATTTTTATGACTTTTTTTAACAAATATCTATCATTTTTATGACTTTTTTAACAAATATTTATCATTTTTAGGACTTTTTTAACAAATATCTAACCTTTAAGGACTTTTTTTCAACAAATATTGTTCCTTTTTATGAAATTTCTTATCAAATATTTATCCTTTTTCACTTTTTAATCAAATTTCTATCATTTTTATCACTTTTTTATCAAATATTGATCATTTAATTTGAGTTTGACCCCCTGCCTTCCAACACCGGAAATGAATCAGGTTTCCAAAATAAGCACACAGCTTGATAAGGATGCCTCAAAATGTTATTTAAAATGTCAAATAGCCTCTCGATTTAAATTCCCTTGTTGTCGGAGGCCGTGGATCAGAGTTGACTTTCTCAAAAGAAGCAATCAATAAATTCAGTTCATATTGGGAGTGGAGTCGTTAGTGTGGTTGGTAATAACTTCATAATGAACTGCGTCTGAAAGCAGAAGTCCGCGGCAAATAATCTCAAGACTCGTCAGTGTCACAGAATGAGATGCATTGTGGGACATGTAGTTTATGGGCAGCGTGCTCCTGTAGAGCGGCATGTAACCGTATAATAAACGTATTATATTCTTCAGAGCTCTTTCGGAGACACAGAAAATTAAGCGTTGAGTTTGACCCCCCCTGATATAAATGGAAGAGAGATATACTCGTAAAGATATGTGCTAAGTTTCATGACTTTTAGTTGCTTTTTAAAATAATTTAACCAACTTTTATTCACTTTCTTGCAAATATTGTTCCTTTTTATGAATTTCTTATCAAGTATTCATCATTTGTATGACTTTTTTAACATCTATCATTTTTATCACTTTATCAAATATTTATAATTTTTAGGACTTTAACAAATATCTATAATTTTTATGACTTTTTTAACAAATATCTATAATTTTTATCACTTTCTTAACAAATATCTATCATTTTTATCACTTTAACAAATATCTATCATTTTTATGACTTTTTTTAACAAATATCTATCATTTTTATGACTTTTTTTTAACAAATATCTATCATTTTTATGACTTTTTTTAACAAATATCTATCATTTTTATGACTTTTTTTAACAAATATCTATCATTTTTATCACTTTAACAAATATCTATCATCTTTATGACTTCTTTTAACAAATATCTATCATTTTTATGACTTTTTTTAACATATCTATCATTTTTTATGACTTGTTTTTAACAAATATCTATCATTTTTATCACTTTTTTTAACCAACTATCTATCATTTTTATCACTTTAACAAATATCTATCATCGTTATGACTTTTAACAAATATCTATCATTTTTATGACTTTTTTTAAACATATCTATCATTTTATGACTTTATACAAATATCTATCACTTGTTTATGACCTTTTTTTAACAAATATTTATCATTTTTATGACTTTTAACAAATATCTATCATTTTTATGACTTTTTTTAACAAATATCTATCTATTTTTATGCTTTTTTAACAATATCTATCATTTTTAGACTTTTTTAACAAATATCTATCATTTTTAGGACTTTTAACAAATATTTATCATTTTTTATGACTTTTTTTAACAAAAATGTATCATTTTTAGGACTTTTTTTTAACAAATATCTATAATTTTTATAAAAAAATGTAAACACAAATATCTATAATTTTTATGACTTTAACAAATATCTATCATTTTTTTAACAAATATCTAACCTTTAAGGACTTTTTTAACAAATATTGTTCCTTTTTATGAATTTCTTATCAAATATTTATCCTTTTTCACTTTTTTAATCAAATTTCTATCATTTTTATCACTTTTTTATCAAATATTGATCATTTAATTTGAGTTTGACCCCCTCCCTTCAAACACCGGAAATGAATCAGGTTTCCAAAATAAGCACACAGCTTGATAAGGATGCTCAAAATGTTATTTAAAATGTCAAATAGCTCTCGATTTAAATTCCCTTGTTGTCGGAGGCCGTGGATCAGAGTTGACTTTCTCAAAAGAAGCAATCAATAAATTCAGTTCATATTGGGAGTGGAGTCGTTAGTGTGGTTGGTAATAACTTCATAATGAACTGCGTCTGAAAGCAGAAGTCCGCGGCAAATAATCTCAAGACTCGTCAGTGTCACAGAATGAGATGCATTGTGGGACATGTAGTTTATGGGCAGCGTGCTCCTGTAAAAGCGGCATGTAACCGTATAATAAACGTATTATATTCTTCAGAGCTCTTTCGGGGACACAGAAAATTAAGCGTTGAGTTTGACCCCCTGATATAAATGGAAGAGAGATATACTCGTAAAGATATGTGCTAAGTTTTCATGACTTTTTCTTGCTTTTTAAAATAATTTAACCAACTTTTATTCACTTTTCTTGCAAATATTGTTCCTTTTTATGAATTTCTTATCAAGTATTCATCATTTGTATGACTTTTTTAACATCTATCATTTTTATCACTTTATCAAATATTTATAATTTTTAGGACTTTTTTAACAAATATCCATAATTTTAACAAATATTTATCATTTTTATGACTTTTTTAACAAATATCTATCATTTTTATGACTTTTTTAACAAATATCTATCATTTTTATCACTTTAACAAATATCTATAATTTTTATGACTTTTTTTAACAAATATCTATCATTTTTAGGACTTTTTTTAAACAATATCTATCATTTTTATGACTTTTTTAACAAATATCTAACCTTTAAGGACTTTTTTTCAACAAATATTGTTCCTTTTTATGAATTTCTTATCAAATATTTATCCTTTTTCACTTTTTTAATCAAACTTCTATCATTTTTATCACTTTTTTATCAAATATTGATAATTTAATTTGAGTTTGACCCCCTCCCTCACATAATGCACACCAAACAGACAAGTTAAAGTGATAATGAAACTTTTTAATCTCATTTCAGTTCGTACAAATCGCGCGAGAGAAAAACCAACAACTGATTCAGTCTTGAGTCTCTGGAGGAAACAGGAAGTGGAAGCCGATGCAGAACATTCTTCGTCGATATTTATCGTCCTGACGCTTCGCTCTCGCTCCGTCCAGCGTCAACGCTTGGATAGAAATGATTAAAAAAAATTGTAAATCAATAGGAAACTCTTACGATGGGACGCCCAAATAAATCCAGAGATCAGAGTTTCATATTCATCGAGGGTCCAAAGTGGCTTTACATGAGCGAGGGTCTACGCAGAGCGAATCAACGGGTAGAGCTGCACAATTATAATTAAAATGAGGGGTAAAATAATCTGTTCGTGTGGTGTTAGAGTAAAGAAACACCACACGAACGATCCACATTAAAATATGTTTTAGGGAGGAGTTATAATCTATATATAATCTCAGAGAAGATTTGTTCTTTTTGATCTTGTAGATTTACCAGAAAACCTCGAAGCTAACGACTTAAATCTGGTAAATGTACGGCTGCTTTCGTAACTTTAATCACAGAAAATGTTCATTTAAATCTTGCATATGAACCTCCTCTGCCGACTCACCTTCATTTCTCCCTGAATGGCCCTTAATACTCAGTGACGTCGCTAACCGGCCTCAAAACTACAACTCCTACCTCAGAGGGAAGGATGATGAATATTTAAAAGTGTGCAGCTCTCCCGTTCAGATACTCTACGTCTGCTGTGTTACGTTAGAAATGTAGAGTAGGGTCTCCAGATCGTAGAAACCGCTGGATTTTACACAATTAGCACAAGTTGCGTTAATTAGTAAGCATATGGAGACGATAGCAAAAAGATGGCGTGGCCGATTTGGCTTTTTTTTTTTAGGAAGTTATTGACGATGTTGAATCAATGTCGGATATTTTAAGGATCACTAATAGCAGTTTTGAGTGGCCTAAAACTTTCAAATCAAACCAAAATACGTCAAAATCTGCTTAAAAAGTACAAATATGGCCACTTTCTGGTTAAAACGTCAGCAATGGACTCAAAACTGTCCAAATCTGCCAAGAAATTGTTTAACTATTGTCTGCATATGCTAAATAATGCTAATTGTGTAAATGTCCCAACATATACTGCAGGGACGCTCTACAACCCCTTAGCTCCACGTCTTCAGAGGAATTGAATATTTGTCCTTCGTCGCTCTACGTTCCCTCGAGACGTCTTCTCTTCCTGGGGCTCGTCGCTCTACGTTCCCTCGAGACGTCTTCTCTTCCTGGGGCTCGTCGCTCTACGTTCCCTCGAGACGTCCTCTCTTCCTGGGGCTCGTCGCTCTACGTTCCCTCGAGACGTCCTCTCTTCCTGGGGCTCGTCGCTCTACGTTCCCTCGAGACGTCCTCTCTTCCTGGGGCTCGTCGCTCTACGTTCCCTTGAGACGTCCTCTCTTCCTAGAGCTCGTCGCTATGTCCCGAGAGCTCGTGGTTATGTCCCGAGAGCTCGTGGTTATGTCCCGAGAGCTCGTGGTTATGTCCCGAGAGCTCGTGGTTATGTCCCCGTCGCTCTTTGCTCTACATGCTCCAGAGCTATCCTCTAGTCATCGGTGGAGCTCGTCCCTCTACATCCTGCAGCTTAATGTCCCAGAGCTCGCTGCTTTGCCCCAGCTGATCTCCACTGTAGGACCAAGCAGCTATTCGCTCTACATGCCCCGAGCGTCCTCTATAGGTCTCTTTCTGCTCTACATGAGGGCGTTGAGGTGTCCTGAATGCACCACAGAGTTCATCTCTTGACGTCCTCTATATGTCTCTTTCTGCTCTACATGAGGGCGTTGAGGTGTCCTGAATGCACCACAGAGTTCATCTCTTGACGTCCTCTATATGTCCTTTTTACACCGGGCTTCTTTATGTCCTCTTTAAGTCTCTTTCCACCTGGCCTGTTTATGTCTTTACGTCTCTTTGCGCTCTACATGAGGGCGTTGAGGTGTCCTGAATGCCCCACAGAGTTCATCATCAGCGCCCTCTGATCCAGCGCCTCTCTCTCTCGCCCGAGCGTCTCCCTCTCTCTCTCCAGCCACAGTCTCTCCGTCTGCACCGTCGCTCTCTCTCTCTCCACGGTCGCTCTCTCTCTCTCCACCGTCGCTCTCTCTCTCTCCACCATCTCCCTCTCTCTCTCCAGCGCCTCCCTCTCTCTCTCCACCATCTCCCACTCTCTCTCCAGGCCCCCCAGCTGAGCCTCGTTCGCCCCAGAGTCGCCTCCATCGTCGCCACCAAACGCCTCATCTACGAAGTCTGTGGAGGATTGAGGAAGAGGAGGAGGAAGAGGAAGGGGAGGAAGGGAGGAGCGAGGGCGATGTTTGGGGGAGGGATGGTTGTCGTCGTCATGGGTTACGGGGGTGAGGAGGGGGGCACTGCTCGTCAGACGGCCCTCCATGGCGTCGTTCATCAACTGGAACCACGGCCAGGAGGAGGCGCTGTCCGACATGTTCTCCATCCCAACAGGAGGGTACTTTAGGTCCTGGAGGGGTAGGAGGAGAGGGAGGAGGGGGAGGAGGAGAGGGAGAGGGAGGACGAGGAGGAGGAAGAGAGAGGTGAGGAAAAGAGGTCGACCAAACTCCAAACTACTTAACAGTTGTTGTTGTGAACGCACCTTGTATCTCCTCTTCAGATTGTCCCATTTCTTGGCCATCTGATAGGTCGAGACTTTCCCCTGCAGCCCGATCTCCCTGATGATAGCCCTGAGAAACACACACATTCAGACGGGTGAACACACACATTCAGACAGGTGAACACACACATTCAGACAGGAGAACACACACATTCCATCACAGCCGCCTCTTACTTCCATGCAGCCTTAGCAGCGTTCCTCCTGCCGGTGAACAGCGCCTCGTTAGCGGCTCTCAGTCTGATCATCTTCCTCGTGTCCTGGTCCGTCACTGAGGGGAAGACGCATCTCATTATTTAAATATATATATCAACTATTTATTTTCTATGAAATATGCTAATTTAATATTAGTGAATAATCACATACGTTCATTTACATCTTTAATCTCTGGGACACAAAGATGTCCCAACCTGGGGACAGGTTTATCTTCTCTTACTCTTAAAGGAGCGTTCTGACGGCGTGGAGCACTCGCATAAAAGAACACGTCCTTTTACCTTTTTTCATTTCTTACTCTTACTCAGAATTTCTTTGTTTTTGTGGTCTTTTTTCAGAACTTGACTTTTCTCAGATTTGGATTTTAATATTTTTATTATTTCACTGTTTTCCTAATTTTACCTTTTTCTCCGAACTTGGCTTTTTTCTATCTTCTCTTACTTTTATAGGAGTTTTCTGAGGGCGTGGAGCACTCCTCTCCGCTGGCGTCGATGTACGTCACGTTCCCATCGGCCTCGGCGGCGTCGCCCCCCGCCATGGACTCCAGCTCGGACACGCTGCCCCTCCCCTCCAGCAGGCACTCCCTCTCGGGGGGGGGAGGAGGGGGAGGTAGGGGGGAGGAAACAAAGATGGCGTCCTCCTCGCTGCTCCACACCGGCGTCACCCGGGCAGCCTTCCCTGCCAGACGGCCCTCCAGAGCGTCACCCATCAGGGAGAACCAGGGCCAGGAGGCGGGAGGCGTCTGGCCCTCCATGCCCCGCGGAGGGAACTTCAGGTCCTAAACACACAGGTAAACACACACAGGTTCTAGATCTATAGAACCAGGGCTATTTCTCAGAATTCCAATTCTGACTTTTCTCAAATTTCAATTTTTCTCAAGACTTTTAACATTTTTCTCAAATGTTCACTTTTTTCATCAAATTTTTGCTTTTTTCACTGAATTTCAATTTGTGACTTTTTTCTAAGAATTTCAATTTTTGACTTTTTTCTAAGAATTTCCATTTTTGACTTTTTTCTCTGAATTTTAATTTTTTACTTTTTTCTAAGAATTTCCATTTGTGACTTTTTTCTAAGAATTTCAATATTTTACTTTTCTAAGAATTTCAGTTTTTGACTTTTTTCTAAGAATTTCCATTTTTTACTTTTTTCTCTGAATTTCAGTTTTTGACTTTTTCCTAAGAATTTCCATTTTTCAGTGAGACAGGATGAGGCGCTCACCTTGAATTTGGTCTTCAGGTTGTCCCACTTCTTGGCCACCTGATCCGGAGTGATCTTCCCCGTCAGACCCATCTCCTTCACTATGCCCCTGAGCACAGAGAGGAACCGTGAGAGGAACCATGAGAGGAACAGTGAGAGGAACCGTGAGAGGAACAGTGAGAGGAACCGTGAGAGGAACCGTGAGAGGAACAGTGAGAGGAACCGTGAGAGGAACCATGAGAGGAAATGTGAGAGGAACCGTGAGAGGAACCGTGAGAGGAACCGTGAGAGGAACAGTGAGAGGAACAGTGAGAGGAACCGTGAGAGGAACAGTGAGAGTATAAGAGCCATCTTTCCACCTTTAAGCTCTTTTCTGCTCTTTGGTTTTAGCGCCTGGCCGACGCGCTCACACATCACTCAGAGATATATTGTTCGTTTTTGGTACATTTATTTCCATGTTCGTTCTCTTCTTCAAACACAAATGAAGGTATCTTACCAGACGATATTGAAACAGTTTTCTTCACTTAAATAAACAAATCATATCTTCTCTGCAGTGCAATGCAGCGGTCAAAAAACCGTGTGGCTTCACAACCAAAATAGCACCCAGAGTGTAATCAGCAGGACTCTTTTAACCAGCTGAGGCAATCGCAGCACCAATCAGCCGCTCCGCTCCACCGTGGCTGCGGATCCCAATCAAATGACACCAAACAATTATACTCCATTACATACATTAAATGATTAAATAATAGAAATAATAAATCAACGTTTTTGGCTCCTACACTCCGGCCCCTAATTGTTATGGAATCACACATGACAATTACTAATAAACATAAAATGGAGAGCCAATACAAAACATTTGTTTGTTAACAACTATAATTCATATGAAGTCCACTGCAATATAGTGTCCATCTTCGGGGCTTCTGACCCTTAGTGGGGTGAATGTGTATTAACACATGAATCCGTGTGTGTGTAAATGTGCTTGTGTGGTGCAAGAGGGGAAGGGGGCTAGAGCTCGTTTTGGGACTCGACCAGCAGTACCAGCTTCGTGATGGGTCGACGGAGTGTGCTGGTTTTTGACTGTACTTCCACTTGTCGTACAAAACCTCTCGAGTCTGGCAAGACTTGCGTTATTCGTCCCATGAGCCAGGAATTTCTTGGAGCATTTTCGTCGACGATAAGGACAATGTCCCCGGTTGCAAAATTCCTCCTTTTCCTGTTCCACTTTTGCCTTATTTGGAGTTCCGGTAGGTATTCTTTGGTCCATCGCTTCCAAAATAAGTTGGCCATGTACTGAATTTGGCGCCATCTTCTCTTCCCGTGGCAGTCGCTCGGATTGAAGACACCAGGCGGAAGAAATGGTTTTGATTTGAGCAGCAAAAGGTGATTTGGAGTGAGGGGCTCTAAATCTCCAGGGTCGTTGGAAACAGTCGTTATGGGTCGATCATTTATGATCGCCTCTACTTCGCAGAAAAGTGTGGCAAGTCCTTCCTCGTCAAGCTTTTGTTCTTGCGTGAGGGCACTGAGAATGCGTCTGACGGTTCTGATTTGTCTTTCCCAGATTCCTCCGTGGTGGGAGCCTGCTGGTGGGTTAAATATCCAGTTTATTTCCTCTTTAAGAAGCTTGTTCTGAATTTGTGTGTGGTTTAACTCTTGTATTGCTTCTTTTAGTTCACGTTCAGCTCTAACCAAGTTGGTTCCGTTGTCTGACCTCATGACCTTGACAGGGCCTCTTCTTGCAATGAATCTCCTGATGGCATTAATGCAAGAGTCAGAGTTGAGACTGTGCGCAAGTTCGAGGTGAACTGCTCTGATGTTTAGACAGGTAAAAATTACACCGTATCTTTTAACTGTGGCTCTTCTCTGTTTCAACTCAAATGGGCCAAAGAAATCCACACCCACATTTGTGAAGGGCGGATCATCAGGGGTAACTCTTTCTTCCGGCAAGTCTGCCATGAATTGCTGACTTTTTACACCACTGAGTTTCCTGCAGGTTACACATTTAGAGAGGATTTTTCGGATGGCAGAATTTCCTCCAGGAATCCAATATTTCTGCCTTAAACGTGACAGAGTATGAGTCCTTCCACTGTGCCCTATGTTCTCATGGACATGTCTGATGAGGAGTTGAGTCACATGATTGTTTGCAGGTAAGATAATTGGGCTTTTGGCTTCGGCTGGCATTGCGGATTTCGCTAACCTTCCGCCAACTTTTACCAAGTTGTTCTGAAGAAAGGGTGCTAGTTTGTGAAGATGACTGCTCCTTTTTACTGCAAGTCCTTTCTTTAGCGCAGTTATCTCATCCTTAAATGAAGCGGACTGACAAAACTGAATTATGGCAGCTTCCGCTTCCTCCAAGTTTTCAACAGTGAGAGGTCCTTTTTCATGTTTTGCTCTCTTTTCCTTCAAATCCATTTTTGGCCTCGCCATCAGAGCGGATTTTATGCGTAGCATCCAGGCCACAGCTCTTTTCAGGCGATGCCAGTGGGAATAGTAAGTGAGCAACTTGTTCACTGTAACAGAGCTTTCTTCCATGGGGGTGACACTTACTGCAAAAACTTTCACTTCAGGATCGCTGGCTGTTAGAGTCAAATCTGGAGATTTAGGCCATTGATGCTCAGGGAGACTGAGGAACTCTGGTCCCCTTAACCAGGTTTCATCTCTCAGAAAGCGACTTACAGAGATTCCCCTTGAAACACAGTCAGCTGGATTCAGGCAACCATTAACATACCTCCATTGGGAAGTCTCTGAAGCAGATCGAATGACTGTGACTCTGTTGGCAACGAAGGTGTGGAATCTTGTCGTTTCATTTTGTATGTACTTCAGCACAGACGTGCTGTCAGTCCAAAACACGGATGGCTGGAGTTTAAGCTCTAACTCTTCCTGCAACATTCGGTCCATCCGGACGGCTACAGTGGCAGCGGTAAGCTCCAACCTTGGGATGGTCACAGGTTTGAGTGGAACTACTCTGGCCTTACCCATGATAAAGGAACAATGAACTGCGTTTGCTTTGTTCATTAGGCGAAGGTAAGACACCGTTCCGTAACCACTTTCACTAGCATCTCCAAAGTGGTGAAGCTGAGCTGAGACTGGATCTCCAAAGTTGAGTGGTGTGATGCATCTTTTGACTTTGAAGTCTCTCAGTAATTGCAAGTGGTGTAGCCAGCTCAACCACTGTTCCTTACATTCTTCAGGAATATTTTCGTCCCATCCTAGCCTTATTCCTGTTAATTTTTGCAAGATTTGCTTTGCAGGGAGGATCACAGGGGACAACATACCCAGCGGATCAAATATAGAGCTCACGACTGACAGAATACCTCTCCTGGTAAGTGGTTTATCCTGAGGATTGAATTTGAAATGGAATGAGTCCGTTTCAGTGCACCACTGAACTCCGAGAGCTCTTTCAACAGGCAGGGTACTTTTATCCAGATCCAGATCCTTGATTTCCTTTGATCTACTTTCCTCAGGTATTGTTTGTAGTAGAGCTCTGCTGTTGCTTACCCATTTGTTTAACTTAAAACCACCCTTACTGCACAGGGTTTTAAGTTCGTGAGCGATTATCACTGCCTTCCTCTCGTCTTCCATTGATTTTAGGCAATCGTCCACATAAAAATTTCTTAGCATCGAAGAGACTGCCTCTGGGCTAAAGTCATCCACATTGTCTCTTGCACACTGTTGTAGGGCAAAGTTGGCGCAACTAGGCGAGGAGGTTGCTCCAAAGATGTGTACAACCATTTGGTACTCTTCTAGCTCACTACTGAGATCTCCATCGGGCCACCACAAGAATGTGAGAAGATCCGAGTCTTCCTCTGGCACCTTGACCTGATGGAACATGGCTTCAATATCTGCCATGAATGCAATGTTCTTCTGCCGGAATCTTGTAAGGACACCAATAAGACTGTTGGTTAAATCTGGGCCTTGGAGAAGACGTGCATTCAGAGATGTGCCCTGGTAAGTTGCACCGCAATCAAAAACCACCCTCAGTTTACGCTTTTTTGGATGATACACGCCATGGTGTGGAATATACCAGCTCCTTTTGCTTTGAATTGCCTTGTCTTTTTGTTCAGGTGTCATTCTTATGGCAAAACCTTTATCAACAACATCCGCCATGAACTCTTTGTACTCCTTGTAGAATTTGTTGTTTTGTTGGAATTTTCTTTTTAGGTTCAAAGCTCTTTGTTCAGCAACACGTCTATTATTGGGAAAATCAAGTCCTTTTTCCTTTAATGGCAACCCAATACTGTAGTGTCCGTCTACCAACTTGACAGAATTAGAGACACTTTCCATGAACTTGTGATCCTCTCTTGACATTTCCAGACGCTCCTTGTGTTGATGTTCTGGAAAGTCAAGCTTCACTTGCTGCTTCAACAATTCCTCGATTTCCACAACAGAAATTCTGTTTGCTGTAACGACTGGTTTAATCCAACGAGTCGTATCTGACCTTCCTAGAGGTCCATTTATTGTCCAACCTAAAATGGTCTTAACAGCGTACGGGCCATTCCCTTGGCTGTTTATGACTTTGCGTGGCTCTAGAGCTTTTGGCACGTTGCACCCGATCAGCAAGCCAACCTCTGCATCAATTTGTGGTAGATTGACCTCTTTCAGGTATTCCCATTGTTCCACGTCCTCCTGAGAAGGAATATTTGCCTTTCGTACTGGTATTTTGTTTTGGGAATAAACAGGTGGAAGTGCTACATACTGGTTACTTTCAAGACCACATATTTCAAGGTCACATGCAACAGATGTTTTAGCTGACTCCTCTCTATTCATTGTTCGTAGGAGTATCTCTGTGTTGCGTCCAGTCACTTGAAGCTGCTGTAGAATGGACTCTGTGCAAAAGGTAGCCGTACTACCTGGGTCCAGAAAGGCGTATGTTGTTATGATGGTATTACCCTTTTTTGTTTTCACCTTCACAGGAACGATAGCCAGGGTGCCTTCAGGCTCACCGGCCCCAATATCCTCCTCCCGTGAATCATCTTTATCCATATCCACTAAAGCATTTGCAACAGTCTTTACCTTTCCTTTGCTCGACTCTATATTACTGAAATGCAAAAGAGTGGGGTGTGTGAGATTGCACTCTTTGCAGGTATGTCTTTGTTTGCATCCTTTACTCATGTGGCCCTTTTCCAAACATCCAAAGCAAAGTCCTTTGCCTCTGAGGAATTCCAACTTCTCTTTGTGGGTGTTTTTGAGAATCTGATTGCAAGCAGAAAGATGATGTTCTCCTTTACAGTAGATGCATCGGTTTGATTGGGATGTGTCACTGTGTCGGTTACTGTTTTCTTTCTGAAGTATTGGGGATACACTAGTGGCGAAACCACTTTTATATAACTCTGGAGATCTCGGTTTGAACTTTGTGTTGGGAGTAGCAGGAACAAATGTGTAGCTTGTTTTAGCTGATGTATTTGGAATTTCCTTTAAGTTTCCAAACACTGGATGAGAAAGGATTCTAGCATGATGGTCGACAAACTTCACTAGATCTTTAAACTGAACTCTTCTGTTGTTTCTATCTTGTATATCGCAAGCTTTAGCCCTCCAGTTTTCTCTCAGCTTATATGGGAGTTTAGAAAGAACAGCTCGCATGTTGATTGGGTGATCCATTTCCTCCATGTATTCCACACTATCCATTGTATTGAGACATCCATTAAGAAACACGGCAAAGGTTTTTAAAGATTGTGGATCCTCAGGTTTAATAGATGGCCAATTGAGAGCCTTGTCGATGTAGGCTGTCGCGATAAGATATTCATCTCCATAATGATGCTTCAACAACCTTTTCGCTTCCATGTATCCTTTGTCAGATTGCATATATTGGCAACTGCGCACAAGCTCTCTTGGTTGGCCAATAGTGCATTGCTCCAAAAAGTAAAGCCTGTCCTTACTGATTTCTGTTTTCTCTTCAATACCATGCTCAAATGCTCTTATGAAGGACCGATAATCCAAAGGGTTTCCGTTGAAGGTAGGAATGTTGAGTGGGGGTAATGAAGAAAGTTTCTGTTGCTTTACCATTGTTTCTGTTATTATGGTCTGTTTTTCCATGATGCTTATTAAGTTATTCATATTGCCCTCTCCCGTGCTAGAAGACGTGCTGGATGAAGTTGAACTTTCGGGACGTTGTGGTATGAATTGTGTTTCACTATTAACGGCATTTGCAGTTTTATTGATGTTTGGTTTCTGCTTGTTGGCATTCAAATGAGCATTTTCTTGCTCTGAGTTATCCCAATATTCATTCATTCTGTCTCCTGCTTGGTACATGCCTGCATGAGAATCCTCCATTCCTTTGATTACACTTAATTTCGCAGTGTTTGCTGCAATATCTGTTTCAAGTTCCAGCTGTTCCTTTCTTGCCTTCAAACCAGCTTCCTCCCTTTCCAGTGCTTGCTTCTGAGTCAGCCGAGCAGCTCGTGCTAACAATTCTGCATTTCGACTTTCCAATTTTATTTTAGCAGATGTGATAGAAGACCGAGAAGATCTCCTTGAACTTTGTGAATGAACACTCGTTATGTTTGAAATACTGTCCTGAGGTGCAACACTCATATGTCCTTTTATTTTGGTCTTGACCACATTGGACACAGGAGCATCAGCGATCCAGTTTAAGACCTCCTGAGTAAACTCTTCCAAGGCAGCTGCTTTGGGGTTGTACCATTCATCCTGATCCTTTTCCACCTCTTTCTCCTCCTCTGTGGACATTAAAGCTTGAACAGAATCATTTAACTGTTCCATTTCCTTGTGTAGTTGTGTAAACTCATTTTCCATTTTCGACTTAACCAGTTCCACATTGCAGACATTTTCCATTAATTGTCTGATTTCATTTCTTTTCCTTGTCAATGCACCCAATTTTGCACTCCTTGATAATTTCAGTCGTTTGAGCCTTTCCATATACACACAGTCAATGTCACTTTCCAAGCTTTCCAAGTCTGCCATTTTTGTTCAAGACGACACATTTATTCCTTTTGAATTTTACTTCATTGTTTATGGACTTTCATTGTCTTGCCGCGAGTTGAGACGTTTCCAACAGTCCTTGAACGCTCCACAGCAGTGACGCGTTACATACGTAGTTGGAGGAGGAGTGATTGTTGCCTTCTGTCATTCACATTTCACACACCGTCGATCCAGGAAGTAGAAGCCGTAGTAAAACGAAGGCGAGTGTTTCACACACTGTTATGAGTTCTGAGTTCTTGTTTTCAAAACAAATATTTCCACGGACCAGCGCTCATCAAGCTGGGTTTTTTGACGAATATAAGAGCCATCTTTCCACCTTTAAGCTCTTTTCTGCTCTTTGGTTTTAGCGCCTGGCCGACGCGCTCACACATCACTCAGAGATATATTGTTCGTTTTTGGTACATTTATTTCCATGTTCGTTCTCTTCTTCAAACACAAATGAAGGTATCTTACCAGACGATATTGAAACAGTTTTCTTCACTTAAATAAACAAATCATATCTTCTCTGCAGTGCAATGCAGCGGTCAAAAAACCGTGTGGCTTCACAACCAAAATAGCACCCAGAGTGTAATCAGCAGGACTCTTTTAACCAGCTGAGGCAATCGCAGCACCAATCAGCCGCTCCGCTCCACCGTGGCTGCGGATCCCAATCAAATGACACCAAACAATTATACTCCATTACATACATTAAATGATTAAATAATAGAAATAATAAATCAACGTTTTTGGCTCCTACAGAGAGGAACAGTGAGAGGAACCGTGAGAGGAACCGTGAGAGGAACCGTGAGAGGAACCGTGAGAGGAACAGTGAGAGGAACCGTGAGAGGAACCGTGAGAGGAACCGTGAGAGGAACCGTGAGAGGAACAGTGAGAGGAACCGTGAGAGGGTGTCTCACCTCCATGCAGGCTTGGCCGTGTTCCTCCTGCCGGTGAACAGAGACTCGTTTGAAGATCGCAGCTCAATCAGCCTCCGGATGTCTTCTTCTGTCACTGAAATGAAGGTAGAATAACTCAGATGAGCAGCAGGTAAACGTCTCTTAACCTGCGTCAGGGCGACACTCTCTCGTGGGCCCAGTTCCAAACCACACCCTGCCCACTGACTCTCAGCTGAACGAGGCTCAGTCAGACGGAGGGTTTGGAACCCCCTCTCTCCGGCAGAAACAGGACACGCTGTAACTTTAGGTAACCACGCCTTCAAATCAGCGTCTCTTGGAAAACAAGTCTAAATTACTAACTCAAATAAAACTCACAAAATCTTTAAGTGTTTCTTTTTTGTAAAAACAACTTTATAATAAAATGCACACATTTACCGTTTTCTCGACTGAACACAGGTACGATCCTAAGCTAAACAAATAGGAAGTCACCATCAAGTTGTTAACATCGCTATGTCGATATTAAATATATCTTGTTGTGCAGTTTCTCTGTAAGCAGCGTGTGCATGTCAATGGTCTGCAAAGGCTCAAATCCCTGTTCCCTTCAAAAATACCTTTTTTCAGAACTTGTCTTTCTTCAGATTGGATTTTTGTTTTTGTGGTTATTTTACTTTTCTGTTTGTTATTAGACTTTTTTTCAGAATGTGACATATTTTTAAGAATTTGTTGTTTTTCCATAATTAGACTTTTTTCTCAGAACTTTTGCCTTTTTTTAAGAATTAGATTTTTTTCTATAAATTTCACTTTTATTCCCAGAATCCTATTTTTTTTTTTTTTAAATGTGGCCTGCTTGCAACACACACACACACACACACACACACACACACACACACACACACACACACACACACACACACACACACACCACACACACACACACACACACACACACACACACACACACACACAACACACACACACACACACACACACACACACACACACACACACACACACACACACACACACACACACACACACACACACACACACACACACACACACACACACACACACACACACACACACACACACACACACACACACACACACACACACACACACACACACACACACACACACACACACACACCTTACACTTGTATGTGAACTCGGCCATCCTCTGCAGGTCTCCCAGCGCCGTGGACCCGCTCTTGTCGTCTTGCTCCACCAGCAGGTCCATCTCAGACTCAGTGAGGAACTCGGCCATGCCGCCCCGGCTCCTTCGCGCTCGTTTCCTCGGCACGGGCGACAGCGGCTCCATGTCCTCGTCCTCGTCCTCCACGATGGGCGTGAGGACGGGCGCGGTTCCCGTGAAGCGGCCCTCCATGGCGTCGTTCATGCGGTAGAACCAGGGCCAGGAGGAGGGGTTGGTCTCCACGCCGCGGGCGGGGAACTTCAGCTCCTGATGGAGACACAGAGCTGCTGTTACCATACACTCACAGCCACGTCTATGCTCTACCAACTACACAGAGCTGCTGTTACCATCCACTCACAGCCACGTCTATGCTCTACCAACTACACAGAGCTGCTGTTACCATCCACTCACAGCCACGTCTATGCTCTACCATCTACACAGAGCTGCTGTTACCATCCACTCACAGCCACGTCTATGCTCTACCATCTACACAGAGCTGCTGTTACCATCCACTCACAGCCACGTCTATGCTCTACCATCTACACAGAGCTGCTGTTACCATACACTCACAGCCACGTCTATGCTCTACCAACTACACAGAGCTGCTGTTACCATCCACTCACAGCCACGTCTATGCTCTACCAACTACACAGAGCTGCTGTTACCATCCACTCACAGCCACGTCTATGCTCTACCAACTACACAGAGCTGCTGTTACCATACACTCACAGCCACGTCTATGCTCTACCATCTACACAGAGCTGCTGTTACCATACACTCACAGCCACGTCTATGCTCTACCAACTACACAGAGCTGCTGTTACCATACACTCACAGCCACGTCTATGCTCTACCATCTACACAGAGCTGCTGTTACCATACACTCACAGCCACGTCTATATTTGATTATATATGTTGCATTGTTGGAGGAGCTCAGGTCAGAAGAAAGTCATTGCCATTTCTACACTGAAGCTGCTGTGCATTACATTTTTTTACATTACATGTAATTTGTTAGACGCTTTTATCCAAAGCGACTATGGAGCAATTTGGGGTGAAGTGTCGCAGGGACACAACGACATGCTGACTGCAGTGGGACTCGAACTTGCTACCCCCTGATTCGAACCACTGAGCCACAGCCTATGCATATGATGATAAAACCTTTGAATGTTGATAAGGTATTCCTGTGTTGGAGCCTGAAGGCAGCATCGTCCCCGTTTTATAAATATGACATTTCCCCAAAAATAAGATTTAAAAAAAGGTAGAAATTGGGACTAAAACTGCACATTTTACATTTAATATTCCATTCCTCACACACTCAATGTGTCCTCACACACTCAATGTGTCCTCACACACTCAATGCCTAGAATATCCTGTTTAGAATAGTTTATTTCTTCTCCTCTGTGCAGTGCCTCGTCTCTCATGCTCCTGCAACACAAACATTTCCCACATTGGGATGAATAAAGTCTGTCTGATCTGAGGGGTGCCTACCTTGTACCTCCTCTTCAGGTTGTCCCACTTCTTGGCCAGCTGCTCGGTGGTCAGCTTCCCCTGAAGACCCAGCTCGTACAGGATGGCTCTGAAAGAGACACACGCAGGTTCAAGGACTGAAGACTGTGGACAAAATCTATCTGAGGAGTGAGAGGGTGAGAGGGGAGACGGGCTGTAAAGGTCTCCTATTAAACTCATTGGAGGCATTTATATCGGTCTCAGGTTTACCACAAGGTGACTTCCTGCTTCTTCACACATGCTCTCTCCAGTACAGGTTAGCTCTGAGTGTTAGCATGCTAATGTCAACACAGACCATATTACTTCCAGAACACGTCTCATTGTTTCTGACAGCAACGTTTCTGATTGGCCCGTGGGTGTAAAGCCCGCCCACATTTTAGTAATGTGGTCATGACGCAGCAAATCTGGATCAGCTCCCTTGTTCCCCCGTTTTTAGAGATGTGGGTACGGAGGAAAAGAGAGAGGGGTTTATTTCTGACACTTTGAGAGTCTCCTGACACACCGGGGACACACGGGGGACACACCGGGGACACACCAGGGACACAACGGGGACACATGGGGGACACACCGGGGACACACGGGGGACACACCGGGGACACACGGGGACACATGGTGATGTAGAGAGGACATCACTTTGAGAGTCTCCTGACACACCGGGGACACACCGGGGACACAACGGGGACACATGGGGGACACACCGGGGACACACCGGGGACACACGGGGGACACATGGTGATGTAGAGAAGACATCACTTAGTGAGTCTCCTGACACACGGGGGACACACCGGGGACACACCGGGGACACACCGGGGACACATAGTGATGTAGAGAAGACATCAGAAAGAGACTTTTGCATGATAGGAGAGCTTTAAGACTGGTGTGTAAAGTCAGACGAGATTATATTTCATTATCAAAAGCAAAAGTCTCACCTCCAGGCCGGTTTGGCGGAGTGTTTCCTGCCGGTGAACAGAGCCTCGTTTGCCGCTCGAAGTTTAATCATCCTCTCCGTTTCCGTTTCAGACACTGAGGAAACACAACAGCAGCAAATAAATAAACCACTGAGACGAGTAATAATCATTCAGAAGCAGAACCTGTGTGTGAAAAGATTCACACATAGCTATCTCTTATACCCCTTTCACACCAACGGTGTTTCAGGGCCGGTTCGGTGCTGGTGCTTGAAAAGCACCGGGTTTTCCTGTTCACACCGCAGCGGAGCCGCCTCTAAGCTCCGGAATCCGGTTCGTTTCGAGCACCAAAAAGTTGTCCGTCTAGAAGCAAGAACCGCATACGTCACGCTTACGTCGGAGGGGGGCGAGATTAACCTGAGCTAACACTTAAGGCGAGTACGGCAAATAAAAGTTGTAACCAGCAGTAGTGCTGAGCAAAGTGACTAGAACGCAACCACACACTTGTATAAAAAAAACACACTTTATAAAGTCAGGCAACACTAACCAGGCTTCGTGTGATTCTGTTTATTTGTACCTTACTTTGACCATCCGTTCGCTGTTATTGATCATTGTGGAGAGCAGGCAGACGTTTGTTATTATAGCAGCTATCGGATGGAATCAATACATGGGCTGCACAGGTTGTCATGTCCGACTATCACAAGTAGAATCATAATGAAAAATACGTCGGTAAAAAGTGCCTGTAGAAAACGGCTTAGCAAGTAGTCAGTTTAGCTTCGGTTGCTATGCTAACATCACCCATGTTATACCAGAGAAACTTTCATAACAGCGTTGTGATGCCAAACAGCGTCAATTCAGACTGACACACATTCACTTAAGGGGAACTGGGGGATATGTATCAGCTGCTTGTGTGACAGTCAGACAGTGAATACTTTAGAGCCGTGTGAGCTAACCCGGAGCTAACGGGAGAATACACTCCCGTGGAAGAGCAGCCAGCACTGCAGCGGTCGCTAAATGAAACACATTAATAAACAATGAACCACGGCACTCTGGAGAAAAGTATAAGGTTGGAGAAGTCGTTATTTAATTTAATCTGGCTTCGTATGATTAAAAGCAACGCAGTCCCCGGCCCGTTGTTGTTGTGAGGTGAGCTCCGGCGTTGGGGAGAAACTCAGCGACGTAAACTGTGACGTCATGACGCAGCAGCGGCAGCACCAGTCGGGCTCTGAGCGGTGTGAAAAGAGCCGGCGCTAAACCGAAGAAACGGTTCTGAACCAGAAAAGCTCTAGCACGGAGCTTGAACCGGAGTTGCGTTGGTGTGAAAGGGGCATTAGTGGAGGAAAACAATTGTGACATCACTTACGCGACTCTGGGATTTGTAGTCTTTCTAGTTGCGTATTTTTCATAGTCTTATATTTACGACAAACTGTGACTTTTTTGACATGGAAATGATTTTTTAAGATTGACAAACATCATATGTGTAATTCCAGGGTTGCCAACTTTGGGTACCTGGCTGGAGTGAGATTTTGATATCATGGGTTTAATTACACATATGCACACTAAATGACTGCTATCGTGTCAGCAGCGGGACCTTAGCATATATATAGGATATATATACAATATATACAAATACACAATATTGGACACAGACTATAAAGGGCACACAGTTTCATTCACTAATGAAAGTCAAACATGTTTGTTTCCACTGTTTTATTGTGTGCCTGTCGCGATAAGCAATTAATTTACTTATCGTACGATAAATAAAAATGAACTGATAACTTTTCTGACCTCGATAAATTGCCATTTACATGAGGATGTGACTAGCAGTTTGAAAGGATGTACTTGAATTATTATTATATATTATCATTATGTCAGTGGTCTAAAATGGTCATACAACGGTGCCGACAATATTATCGTTTATCGCAATCATTTCCGGGAAAATGTATCCAACTAAATTAATTATCGTGAGAGGCCTATGAAACACACACACACAAACAAATCTACAGACTTACTCCAAACTGCCAAATATATGAATTAACACACTCTCACTCTCATATACTCTTTGACTCTATTTTGGCCTAGTAGAACAATAAGCAGCAGACTTTTACTTTTTTATCATTTCTTCTGGATCTCAGATCTGCGCATGCGCAATACGGGTCGGCAGTTGCGGCTCCAGAGTATTTGTGTTGGGTAATCTATGGTAGGGCTAACCCTTGTGGTGGGGCTCAAGTCAGTATTCACAATGTAATTACATACACGCTCCCCCCGACAGTGAAACGCCACGCGTGAGGTTTAGATTATTTCCCTGTCTCAATCCAAATTGAACTGTATGAAATAAAAAGGCACATTTGTCTTGTAGTAAATAAAAAGGGCGACCTGGAGCCAATCCTGCAATTTCCCAACAGGTGAAAGAGTTGACATGCTGAAAACCCAACCCCTGCAGGGGGGTCTGGGGGATTGTCCCCCAGGAGATTTTTTTAAATACTAACATAAAATACACATTCTGGTACTCTCTTGAGAAGAACAATAATGAATCTATTATTACACGACATATTTAAAAAAATGAATGGCATTTTAGTTTTGTGTGACTTTGTTCTGAAAGCTGAACCTGCTGCTCCTCACAGAGAGAAGAGGGAAGAGGCTGTGTGAATTACTTTACATTGTGGATAAGGGTGGATAGCCCCCATTGTTCTGTGTGTCAAAATGAAAGACAGCCCACACACCTATCAATCATCAAACCGTGGGGTCTTATTTCATTACGTGTTGATTTCTATCAACACGTAATGTTGTATCTATGTATAGAGATGTACTACCGCAAAAGTATTCTCCGTCGGGACTTCCTGCAACAACACCACGCCGTTATCGTGATTCTGATTGGCCAGAAGACATTATCAAAGATGTTTTATTGAGAAGACGATCACTACGTGACAAAAGTTTTCAAAACCGTTTCTAGTCTTCGTATTCTTGTTTTTGGCGTGAGAATAGTTTGGGCAGCGTGAGAGCGTGAGATTGAGAGTGAAAGCGTGTGTCACACGCCAGATGCGTGAGAGTTGGCAACCCTGGTAATTCATGGCACAATTCAAACGGGATCGAAAGATACGTTTTCTCTCTCCATTGACTTCAATACATTATTTTTCTGAAATAAGGTCCCATGGACCGGAAGTAGATGGGCGTGACTTCGCCTCTCTATAGAAACCCCCCTGAAGGCCCTTTGATCTGATTGGATGATTTGAATGATCTCTCTCTTTAACCCTTCAGAGTCCTGGGCCCAAAAATATATTTCATTATCAACTTTAAATCCTGTTGTTTTGGTGCCGGCTTGAACAGGTCACATGATCACGGTCGAAGGGTTAATGAAATGATGTGTATTTTGATATCTTATAAACAAGATCAGTGACACAGAACTCATGCTATATCTTTCTTGAAACCCCCCTGAAGGCCCTTTGATCTGATTGGATGATATGAATGAATTCCCTCTTTAATGAAATGATCTGTATTCTGGGATCTTTTTCCGTCTCCTTACTTTTGTAAGAGCACTCACTCATCCTCCTCCAGCCCATCGGCACCCCCTCAGTGGGAGCAGCGTCCTCGTGCAGCGTCCCATCATGCACTGCTGCTTCCTGTGCCACCGTGTCCTCCATCTCCGTCTTGATGAGGAACTCCAAGATGTCGGTGTTCTCCTGGCTCTGGCTCTGGCTCTGGCTCTGGCTCTGGCTCTGGTTCTGGCTCTGGCTCTGGTTCTGGCTCTGGTTCTGGTTCTGGTTCTGGTTCTGGGTCTGGTTGTGGCTCTGGGTCTGGGTCTGGTTGTGGCTCTGGTTCTGACTCTGGTTCTGGGTCTGGCTGTGGGTCCCGTCCAGGCTGAGCACCAAGCTGCTGTTGAAGAGGCGTCCGTGCATCGCCTCGTCCATGATGTGGAACCAGGGCCACGACTCCACCGCCCCCCCCCAGGCTGTCCTGACCCTGGTACGGCTGCTTCAGGTCCTGAAAACACACAAGTGTATTTATATAACAGCTTTCAACAAAGGCAATTCAAAGGTCTCCTATTATACTATTTTTAGGCATATATTATAGGTCTCAGATATATACAAATATATACAAAATATGAAATCTGAGAAAATGTTTAAATATCTGTGAGTTAACTATATTCCCCGTGAATATCAAGCAGTATTTGCACATGTTGAGCAGTGTTTGAGTGAACCCTCTCTGCACCTCCTCACCTTGTATTTAGTCCGCAGGTTGTCCCACTTCTTGGCGATCTGGTCGGGCGTCAGCTTCCCCTCCAGACCGAGACCCTTCAGGATGGTGCTAAGGAACAGACAGAGCGTCACCAGACGAAAACTCAACACAGGAGACAATCACTTACACTCTACAGTAAAAGCCCTGCAGTGGTTGTCCATCCCTCGCAGGCAGAGGCAGACAAAGGGCCTCAGATTTGTATTTAAGAACATTACCTAGATCCAGCAGCAGACACGTTCACGCTGCCATGGACCGTCTGCACTAAAGCACATTCTCAAAGATATTGAAGAGACTGTTATTTTGTATATATTGATTGTTGTGTTTTTATTTACAGGGTTCCTGCAGGTTTCACCAACTCAAAGTTAAGACCTTTTTAAGACCACTTTGAATAGAATTTAAGACCTATTTCACGGCAAGAAAGTATGAAGGAAAATTGCTATGAAAGAAGAAATACGTCCCATAATTACTTTCAAAGTAAATGTATTACGGACATTTCCCCCGAAACACATTTAGACGTGATCGCAACACAGAAGCATCTTTCAAATCCCATCATATTTAAGACCTTTCTTATTTTTTTTTATCATATTTAAGACCTTTTTAAGACCCTGCGGGGAGCCTGTATTTAGGTCTTAACCTGTTAAGCACTGAGCCTGTTTTTCATGTTTCAGGCTTGAAAATGACATGCCCAAAACAAATGACTATAACTTCACTTCTAAAAGGGTTATATGAATAATTTATTTGATCAAAGCAAGGTTACATCTGTGAGTTGGATGTAGAAGTGTCAGAATCAATATAGATGTTTCTCAGTCAGAGTTAATTCAGATGGAACATAGTAAAAAAAGGTAAATTCTTACCTCCGCCTAAAGAAAAAACATTACTTATAGTGAAAACCACCCTTGAATGATGGGATGGTAGACTAAAAGCTTTAGGAATCAAAACTATAACATATAATAAGTACCCTGTATCAAGATTGAGGCAAAACAAGTTAAATTTGACCTTTTTAGAGAGGTTTAGCCAAAAAAAGTTCCAGGCGGACTAAGCTTTCGGCACATTTGGGTATATCTGGTTCCATCAGTGCCATTTGACCTTTTTCAGGTACCAGACTATAAAAATGATGTATTACATTGAATTATCACCATAGGTATTCATTCCATTCAAATAAAAACAATTAAAATTAAAAAAATTAATTTTAAATTTTTAAAAAAGACCCGCCGACGGGGGCTTTGGGGCTTAACAGGTTAATGTGTGCACGTGTCTAAATGTGTCTTTGACTGTGTATATACATATTTGCACACATTTTGAAATACATTTGTTTTTATATTGGGGATTGTGTGAAGCGGTATTTCGATCTCTCTGAACCATGGATGTATAATAAGAGCTGGATACAGCGTGGGAGGCGGGGGCCTCGTTCCTATGAGAGCTGCTCATTGGCTCATGAAGACAAAATGGCCCAACTTTTGAGAGAGCGAAACGTCACGAAAGTATTCATATAATCCGTTCTTATTGTGCATCCATGGGTAAAGGTAAAACTCATGTAGTGCTGAACACGTAACATGAACGTGCCGGGTGGCGCGGTCCCGTGGGTTAGATGCACGTTCATAATGCAGAGGGAAATAACTCTCAGAATAAAGTTATTAGCACATTTTACAACTTGAGGACCGAATGTTTTTAATGAGGGCTATACAAGTGTTCATACTGGGTAGTTTATTTAGTTTAAAAAAAAATATCCAACGATTTACAGACGTCTCTTTCCCCAATGTTAGTCAATGGGAGAAAGTGTTTCCGGGCCCAGCGACTGATACGGAAGTGTAGTACCGCCGTTTGGACACAACGAATATTTTCCTCAGAGTCCGGCGCACTTCCTGGGGGCTTGCTCTGTACGTACGCAGAGACAGAGAGAGGCCGGGAACAAAGTACACTTCCCAGCGATACATAAATACAGTGTTTTGTGAACACATCTATAGCATGTGCCGCTAATAGAAGACACACAGAGACTTTTTAAACATCTGAGAGGTAAGCGTTGAATATCGATGCTCTGCTCTGACTAAAAGGCACCGTGGGGTCAGATTAGAGTTTTCCAAAGGGGCGTTCGTTTAGCGGGAAACACGTGAAATAACTAGCTAGTGGATCGCCGGTATTAGATTAACATTAACATGCTTATTGTAGTTGTAAGTGCACTGCCTTGCGGCCTGTAGCACCAGATGTGTGGGCTGGACCTGTATTTTACAGGACAGGAGTGAGCAGAGGGTAGAATTGTCGATTCTTGTTCTGTTTTCTGTGACTATCTTCCTCACCCTCTCAGACTTTCAGTTGCGCGCGCTACTAAAGAGACGCGCTACCATGGAAACCAAACAATGGTGTAGCTGTATTAAAGTCCGAGTGGAAACAGTCCTGAGTAAATCTGATTTTGTCAGAAATCGGGAGAAATATGACCCTGGGAGGAAACCGGGAGAGGGCAATGAAATCGGGAGTCTCCCGCGAAAATCGGGAGGGTTGGAAAGTATGAGTCTCACCTTGATTCTGGCGCATTGCTTATCGTTTTCTGTTTGTTTTATAGATCTATTCTCATCCACCATCTTTGTTTGTGAGGTAAAGAGTGTTTCTGAATCGGACACTCTGAGTGGATGCAGTCACAGCCAATTGGAGTCTGATTCAGAGGGTTGCCTGTCAGTTCCGTTGTTAAGGCCCGGACACACCAATCTGACAACAAAGAACTGACACAGACGGACCCCGACTGTTCTCGCGTCTCTGCGTTTTGGCCATGTGTCGCACTGGACTAATTTACAGCATTAATAATTCATATCTAATTCTTAACTGTGAATGGTTTTCATTTATTTAACATTATAAATGTATTAGTAGGCCTGTCACGATAATACATTTTGTTGGATACATTTTCCCGAAAATTCTTGCGATAAACGATAATATTGTCGGCATCGTTGTAAGACCATTTTAGACCACTGACATAATGATAATATATAATAATAATTCAAGTACATCCTTTCAAACATAACTTTTAATTGAACATCCAACATTGCAAATTAAATTAAATTAAATAAATGATATATAATAAATTAAATAAATTAAATTATAAAACATTTATTAAATCACACACAACCAAAACAATCAATTAAATAGACTCAGGCTGGAAAACAGAGCTCTCTCTCTCTCTCTATCTATCTATATATAAATAAATATGAGCACACATTGTCTCACAAGCAAAAAGCCCTCCTTAAACCAGCAGTCAAGTGTACAGTCCACGGTCCAGACAAAGACCCAGATGCCTCAACAGGCCATATCCAAATCTGTATTTCAAAGATTTCGAGCAAGGAACACCAACATGTTTGCATTGTCGGGCAAATGCATCTTTGATTGTAAACAGTGGGGAAGGTGAGGGCTCTCCATCTCCAGCTGCCGTGTTTGCTCCCAGCTGGGAGAATGGGGCGGTTGTGTTTCAGGTGCAGTTTAAGGTTGGTCGTATCGCTAGCTTTTGTTGCTACCTTTTTAAAACAAATGCGACACACCGCCCGGCTCATTCAAGTCCGTAGGTTCGCCTCGTTGATTTGGCTTACATCCAAAATATTCCCACACCGGAGATGTGGTATTAGGTTTTGCAACCAATTCCATTTAACTTCAAATTCCCCTGGAGTAAGTCACACGTTGTTCCCTGCTTGTCTATTATTAATTTGGCTGCTACACTGCTGCACGCGGAGTGTCCTGACCTGGCTGTGTGTGAGCCCCTCACAGTGCGCCGGGCTAAAATTCTGGTCACATCCTTATGTAAACAAACACGCATGTAAACGGCAATTTATCGAGCTCAGAAAGTTATCGAGTCCATTTTTATTTATCGTACGATAAGTCAATTTATTGATTATCGTGACAGGCCTATGTATTAGTCTGGCCAATCCAAGACTTCAATGCTGAAGGGCCAATGGGTCTGTGGTGGGGGTCAGCACAAAGGTCAAGAAAACCCACATTTGAAAAGAAGACAACGGATGACCAAGAAACAAGTGACTTGCTCAATTCATTTGTGAGGGATCTGTGAAGAACAGCAGCTGCACTACTGGTGTTTTGTATACCAGCAATTTGAGGGTGGAAAAGTTTACTACCACTTAGGTTTCAAATAATTGTGTTAATTACTTATTGTAAAGCATTTGAATATTCTTTTGTGTCACATTTTCATTATTAAGTTGATGTATAACCAGGTGTGCACATAACTTTTTGAGTGAGTTACTCAGATGAGTACCAGGAGACAGCGTTTGGTACTCACCCCACATGAAGCGTGGTGTTAATAAGTGCAGTCTTCCTCACTGTCCTCCTCAGTGTCTCCTTCACTGTCCTCTATTTACACTTCTTGCATGCTAGATGATGAAGATGATGAAGATGCACCTCCCTGTCTCTTTGTAAGCCTCCAATTTGCTTTCTCCAAAACTTGTTGCCAAAACTGTGAAGTCCTTGCATTTCCTGAGGCCAAGTTGAAGGATCAAATACTGAGAAATTATCACATGACTTGAAGTCATATCTGATTTCAGAGGTGGGAAGTAACAAAGTACACTTATTCAAGTACTGTACTTAGGTACAATTTAAGATACTTGTAGTTTACTTGAGTATTTCTATTTTATGCTACTTTGTACTTCTACTCCACTACAGTTCAGAGGTAAATCATGTACTTTTCCTCCACTACATGTAGTTAATACATTTTAGTTACTTCACAGATGTGGATGAATGATGTGAAAATATAATCAAGTGTTAAATCAGACTTTAGTTCCACCTGGAGTAAATCCACAAGCTACCCTGCAGTATACAAAGTCATTCAAACTAATTTTTAAACACTTTAATGATCAATAATTATAAAACATATCATATACATTATTATGAAATGGACCAATCTGCAAAATGACTACTTTTACTGTCGCTACTTTAACTAGATTTTGATGATAATACTTTTCTAATTTTACTTGAGTAACACTTCTTCCACCTCTGTCTGATTTCAAACTCTTCCATTAACAGCCTGAGTAAGTTTGCAGCTGTGTGTTTTACTCCACTTTGTTGTAAATAAAACTGCAGCAGCTTGACCACAGAGCGTGAACGTTGTGATCAGCTGATTTTGCGCAGTTCTCCAGTGTGTGCGCGGGGCACAGAATGTGCACAGGGGAGTCTCCCACCGCAGCCAGTTGACGTAGTTTTGGTACAATTCTGTTGTACACACCGACGTTAACAGCAGCTCCGTCTGTGCACACGGCGACCAACTCTGTCGTCCAGTGATCTAAGCCTCTTTCTCCTGTGAAGCTTCACAGGTCCGTCGGTTATGTCCTGCGCGGCACGGCCAGCACCCAGTTCAATCAGTCATAGAAAGTCTGAAGATTTTAGCAGGGAGCGAAACGGCAAAGTGGCTGCTTAATGTCTTTGTTTTTTTTGGACATGTCTAATAATTTACTCCACTGAGTATTGACAAGAAACATGTGTAGGCGAAATATGTGTTTTGTTTTGATGACCTATCAGGTACGCAAAGGCGCGTTGTGACACAAGTGACGTTACGCATTTCAGATTGTTGCCGCGCATGCGTACCTGCGTACCAGTTATGTGCACCCCTGTGTATAACTGTATAGTATCTTAATTATTTAAAATATAAGGTGACTAAAAATGGCAACCGTATTTTCAGTTTTGGCAACCAAAAGCTGATGCCTGGTTGCCTGCCTGGCAACCACTTTTAAAAGTTAGCGTTGAGCCCTGCATGATATATATCATGTGTAGTCTTGACCAAAAAAAAGACAATTCCTGGCAAAGAAACGCCCATGGACACTGCCCAAAAGAACGCCCATGGACACAGATCAAAAGAACGCCCATGGACACTGATCAAAAGAACGCCCATGGACACTGCCCAAAAGAACGCCCATGGACACAGATCAAAAGAACGCCCATGGACACTGATCAAAAGAACGCCCATGGACACTGCCCAAAAGAACGCCCATGGACACAGATCAAAAGAACGCCCATGGACACTGCCCAAAAGAACGCCCATGGACACTGATCAAAAGAACGCCCATGGACACTGCCCAAAAGAACGCCCATGGACACAGATCAAAAGAACGCCCATGGACACAGATCAAAAGAACGCCCATGGACACTGCCCAAAAGAACGCCCATGGACACAGATCAAAAGAACGCCCATGGACACTGATCAAAAGAACGCCCATGGACACAGATCAAAAGAACGCCCATGGACACTGCCCAAAAGAACGCCCATGGACACAGATCAAAAGAACGCCCATGGACACTGCCCAAAAGAACGCCCATGGACACTGCCCAAAAGAACGCCCATGGACACTGATCAAAAGAACGCCCATGGACACTGATCAAAAGAACGCCCATGGACACTGCCCAAAAGAACGCCCATGGACACTGATCAAAAGAACGCCCATGGACACTGCCCAAAAGAACGCCCATGGACACTGCCCCAAAAGAACGCCCATGGACACTGATCAAAAGAACGCCCATGGACACTGCCCAAAAGAACGCCCATGGACACTGATCAAAAGAACGCCCATGGACACTGATCAAAAGAACGCCCATGGACACTGCCCAAAAGAACGGGCATAACTAATGATCAGAATAAGTTAGATTCTTCTAATCAGTTCTGATACAATGATAATAAATGTGTGCAATTTTCTGTATTGAATGTTTTTTTCAATGTTATGGTTAGCAGTTATTTTTAATGAAATAAGTAAAAAGATTCAAGTTTTTAAAAAGAACATTTTTTATGGGCAAATATCCCCTATTATAGTGTCTATAAGTCTCTAATGAGTGACATGTATCACACGCTGAGGTCGTGCTGATTTCTGGGATGTGTACAACTTGATTATACTGTAAAGAAATTAGCATTTATAAGGCAAAACACACACATAAACAAAAACGGAAATGTCCTATGTGGGTCTCAGGGGGTTAATGTCTTTCATTTTTGTATAGCACTTTGAATTGCCTTGTGTGCTGTATAAATAAACTTGCCTTGCCTTACACAAAAACACTCACTCACACACACACACACACACACACTCACTCACTCACACACTCTGGATACTAAGCGAGTGGAACATAACAACGGTACTAATAAGTGTTGAAGATACAGCGGACGTTGATGTAAACATTTGAATATGTCTCTTATAGTTAGATGCTGGTTGTTACCTCCACGCTAACTTGGCAGAGTTCCTCTTCCCAGTGAACAGCGCCTCGTTGGACGCCCTGAGCTCGATCAGCCTCTTCACGTCCTCCTCGGTCACTGCAGGTCAGAGGTCAAAGGTCAGGGTCAGTACATCTACAGTGTAGCAATAAAGTATATATTAACTTATCTTACGACCCCCGCCCATTCAGTTCCTACAACAATACTCACTTTTATAGGAGTTTTCTGGGAACTGCGGGTTCAGGGCCATTGTGATCATGGAAGAAGATGAAGATGAAGAAGCTCCTTATTCCTGCTGCAGCGAGGGAGGAAGGGGGGAAGGAAAGGAAACGAGGAGGGGTGGAAGTGTGCTCATCACGGCTGTAAAAAGAGAGCTGGACCCAGCCTCGTTCAGTCCTGTGAAGTTGATCAGTGCTGCATGAAGCCAGAAATGGAGCGACTGTAGATCCAGAAAGGACCCGGATGTGGGCCCACTGAGCATGCGCAGTTGAGTTTTCCCTTAGGCCCCGCCTCCGGTCTCCAGCTCTCTGTCAGTCAGATGAATGGAAAGGGAGAAATAAATCAGGATTCAGCTTTTACAGGACTTAAAAAACGTTTACACCCTAATGATTTACATCAGGGATGTTGAAGTGTTCGCGCTGGCTAGTTTGTTCAGTTTAAAATATATTATCCGCTGATTTACAGACGTCTCTTTCCCAATAGAGTGGCGAAGTCCCTCCCCTTCCGGTGGACCTCCATGGGACCTTATTTCGGAAAAATTATGTATTGAAGTCAATGGAGAGAGAAAGATTATCTTTCGATCCCGTTTGAATTGTGCCACGAATTACACATATGATGTTTGTCAATTTAAAAGATAATTTTGCAAGTCAAAAAAAATAAAATGTGTGGTAAAACTGTGAAGTAACACATTTGTTTGTGTGAAACGCTCAATGAACTACATCTCTGGTCAACAACACACGTCACCAAGATGGCCGTCACTACTGTCTTGTCAACAAAACGATTGACTACCCTCACTATCACCACAATGAAACACGTCCTGAAGAATGTCATGCAAAGCTGCCTGCCTGCCTTCCTTTGATTCTCTCTGAACTGCCTGGTCGTTTTAATGTTTAATGTCAACCATTTGTGCAGATAGCATGAAGTAGAGAAGATCGCCGATGCTAGCGTTAGCGTTAGCATTTCTCCCCCGGGCTTAAATGGTGTATTATAGAATGATCACACCAGTGTGACAGTACTCTTCAAAGGGTTCACGAAATATGACTACTACTCTTACTGTTTAACATTTTGGGTTACTTAATGTTACTTCATGTTAAGGCTAATACAAATGACAAGGCTGTAATGCTAACTAACGTGCTAGCTACTAGCTAGCATGATCCAGAGTACTCCTGGTCCTTTCATCAGACGGGAAGCAAAAGAACGAGCAAGACCCATTGCTGGTATGATAACAACCTGGTACTAAGCACACAGGCATCTTGTTAAAGTTATCTTATCTTAGCCAGCGCCATATAGATAGATTATATCTATATGGCGCTGATCTTAGCTATCTCTTAGTGGAGGAAAACAATTGTGACATCACTTACGCGACTCTGGGATTTGTAGTCTTTCTAGTTGCGTATTTTTCATAGTCTTATATTTCAACAGTTTTACGATAAACTGTGACTTTTTTGACATGGAAATAATTTTTTAAGATTGACAAACATCATATGTGTAATTCATGGCACAATTCAAACGGGATCGAAAGATAATCTTTCCCGAAATAAGGTCCCATGGACCGGAAGTAGATGGGCGTGACTTCGCCACTCTATGCAAGTGGGCCCAGTGACGTCACGGACTGGTGTAGTACCACCGGTTGGCCACTAGGTCATTCCAAATATGGGATTCAACCTCCAGCGCACTTCCTGGTGCTTCTGATATTCGCCTGTAGTACAGTTTTATTTAACTTGGGACTATTTAAGGTCATTTTACTGAAGCCAAGTGTAGGAGTACTCTGTTACTATGAAGTCCTGCATTCAAAATGTTCCTCAAGTGAAAGTATAAAAGTATTATCATCAAAATATAGTGAAAGTAGCGACAGTAAAAGTAGTCATTGTGCAGATTGGTCCATTTCAGAATAATATATATGATATGTTTTATAATGATTGATCATGAAAGTGTTCTCAAAGCTGGTAAAGGTGCAGCTAGTTTGAATGACTTTGTATACTGCAGGGTAGCTTGTGGATTTACTCCAGGTGGAACTAAAGTCTGATTTAACACTTGGTTATATTTCACATCATTCATCCACATCTGTGAAGTAACTAAAGGTATTAAATACATGTAGTGGAGTATAAGTACACCATGTACCTCTGAACTGTAGAGGAGTAGAAGTAGCTGTAAATGGTACTTCAGTACTTAGTTAATTCCTGAGAGAAACAACAACAACTCTCGGATCTGCAACGCAGGCCTGGTGCCGGCTAACACTCTTTTAACGGCTCCGTTTCCCTCCGTCCATCATGTGAGTCCCGGTAGATTCACCGGAACATTTCCCCGGTGAGCTGTCTCCTCCCGTTAACCGTTAACAGCTCGTTAGCTTCAGCGGCTAACGGCTAACATAACACAACAAACACAGCCGGGTTTCCCGCCACACGAACACATCGCTTTCCGTTCTTTTGGGCTAATTTAGACAACCGTTGTCTGACGTCACGAGGTGCCATCGTCCCCGGAGAGCATTCAGCGAATAAATCCGTTCCCGTTACCGGAGCTTTGCCCTGGCTGCGTCCCGGTTACCGTGAGAGGAGAGCAGGGAGATGATGATGGGTCTTTTCCCAACGATCCGGATCTAAGAGCCGACTCTGTGTCGTGAACGAGAAGAGCCGGATCTTTAGGCGGGACTTCATTGTGATTGGCACACCATACGGCCAATCACAGACCAGGACAGACACGGATTCAACGCTTCAACGTGTTTTCTACTTTTTTTTAATGCTATTTTATTTCAATTTGAGATGTTTACATGTTGGATTGTTTATTTCTAGTCTTTTAATAAAGTCCCTTAAAATTCATAAAATTGTAACTTGAAATAAAATAACATAATATACATACAAGAGCCGAGTCAAAAGAACCGGATATTTGAAAAGAGCCGGATTTCCTATCACTAGCGAGCTTCCGTCCGTCACGTGATCTGCGGAGGGCGGGGGTCTGCTTCCTCTCCGAGTTTTATTTATTTAACTTTAATGAACAATTATTCCATCCGAAAAATGCACTTAAACATCAGAGTTCATTCATTAATTAGAAGCTTCAATTCAAGTCTCTATCACCATGTGCTCAGCAGCTACAGTCCTCCTCCAACAGAGCAACATGAATATATATATAGGACATAGAACTAATAAAACAAATAAAATAGTGCAAGAGAATGTTTTGAGATGTGCAAGAAAATACAAATAAAATAGAAATAGTGCAAGAAGAGTTTATATACAAGTACATGGAATATGATATAGATAATTAGCATAATGCAAACAGATGAATGTTATGGATGTTCTTTACAGAGTACAGGTGTTTAATAGTCTGATGGTGTGTGGTGTGTGTGTGTGTGTGTGTGTGTGTGTGTGTGTGTGTGTGAGAGACTGTGTGTGTGTGTGTGTGTGAGAGACTGTGTGTGTGTGTGTGTGTGTGAGAGAGACTGTGTGTGTGTGTGTGTGTGTGTGTGTGTGTGTGTGTTGTGGTGTGTGTGTGTGTGTGTGTGTGTGTGTGTGTGTGTGTGTGTGTGTGTGTGTGTGTGTGTGTGTGTGTGTGTGTGTGTGTGTGTGTGTGTGTGTGTGTGTGTGTGTGTGTGTGTGCGCTTTATGAACAGAAAACAGAAACAGTGGTGCCTCAGGAATGAAGGGGTTTAGAAATGTGTACAATTGTTGGGCTTTCAGAACGTTTTTGTATATTTTCATGTCATTAAGAAAAGCAGTTAGTACAGAGGAAATGTTGGGTCGCAAACAACTTGAAGGTGCATGTACGCCCCCCTGCTGTACAAGAGTCATCATGTCACTGCATCTCCACGGATGCAAGTAAACTGTACCACCATGATTATAATGTTTAAAATGAAACAGTGTATTTCTGGTAGCTCTTACCTCCTCTCCTCATGTTCCCAGAATCCTCTCTGACCGATGAGCTTTTTAATCAAAAAGTCAGATTTTTATATTCTTTTCAGAAAAAAAGTCTGAATTTTTTCATTTTCAGCTAAATGTCAGAACTTATGAAGGAGACTGTATCTATCTTTTATCAATCAATCAATGTTTATGTATATATCCCAATATCACAGATGTTACATTTGTCTCAGTGGACTTCACAGTTTGTACAGAATATCAGTGACAAAACGACACCATCTGTCCTCAGACCCTCTCTCCTTAGACCCTCTGTCCTTAGACCCTCTGTCCTTAGACCCTCACATCGTACAAGGAAACACTTCCAGAGAAACCCCACAGTTTAAAGGAACATGGGAGAAACCTCAGGGAGAGCAACAGAGGAGGGATCCCTCTCCCAGGACGGACAGACGTGCAATAGATGCCGTGTGTCAATCAAAGAGATAATACATTTCACAGCGTAGGTAGACCAAATGTTTGGAAATGCATGTGTCTATAAAAAGATTAATCCACGAGGATGTCAACAATCCTGTGGGAGCCATCAGGGAAGCAGCATGATGAGAGTCAGGCAGGACCGCAGAGACAGGTTCAGCCACGACTCGAAGTCCAGGACTCAGATCAGGACTCAGATCAGGACTCAGATCAGGACTCAGATCAGGACTCAGGATCCCGGCATAGATAGACACCAAAAAGAAATGTGGGGGAAGCTGTGTTAGTGGGAACATGAGAGTACACAGGTACAGACAGAGAGAAGGAAGAAGCAAGGTGTCCCCCGACAGTCTAAGCCTATAGCAGCTAAACTAGGGGCTGAGTCTAATCAGCCCTAACTATAAGCTTTATCAAAAAGGAAGGTCTTAAGCGCACTCTTAAAAACGGATAGGCTGTCTGCCGCCCGAACACAAAGAGATGATTTATTTGATTGATCTGTTTTATGTCCTATATATATTCATGTTGCTCTGTTGGAGGACTCTAGTTTGTCATCTCCATATCCACTCTGTAGCTGCTGAGCACATGATGAGAAAGCCTTGAATCTGTACTGGCATCTCTAGACTGGCTTCAGATCAAGTTTAGAGTCTAGTTTTTATAGTTATTGTTTGCCTCCAAAGCTCTAATGGTTTGATCGGCTCGCAGTTTGCCTGTTTTTAAATCCAGCTTGAAGACCCACTTGCGTTTGTAGACCACCTATAAGACATGACAGTCTGTGCTTTTAATCAGGGTTTCATATTGTGTTTACGTCCCGTGTGAGTTTTCAGTCTGTGGCTTAACGGTTTGATGTCCTGTTTGTTTATCTATATTTTTAAACGATAGTTAAAGACACATCTTCTCAGGGACACAACGACATGCTGACTGCAGTGGGGTTTGAACCTGGACTCCCTTAATCCGCACTATCCACTGCGCCACAGCCTCCCATGTATCTGTAAAGTTCTTAACATCTGATGGGATTTTTTCTTGTTTCTTTTTAACTTGTGATGTGCGCCATTTTGTTAATGTGCTGTATGAAAGGTGCTGTATAAATAAAGCTTTATTATTATTATATATATTTATTGACGTACAGCACTTTGGTCCACTCTGTTGTTCTTGAATGTGCTATAGAAATAAACTTCGGATTTTATTTTACACGTCCAACCCAGAAAATAAATCCATGGAGTTTCAGGTGTTCTTCACGTTACCTCGTATTTCTTTACTTAGCATCATCTAGTCCGGAAACGCGTGCATCTGATCGTAACGATTAGTTATTTACCGAGTATTGTAGTAACAGATGACCCGATAATAACAGACACAATGAAAACTCAGGAGACATTTCTTTTATATTTAGAAAATAATTTAATAACATTTAAATCCAACATATAAAAAACAACAGTGGAAGGACTCCTCTCCTCTCCGCTGGGATACTCTTTAATCATGTCATGAGAGAACTTTGAGAAAAAGGAAAAAAACAATCCAGCAGAGCCGCGAGTCCTGCAGCCGGTCAGTCTCTCTCAAAATATTCATATTGATCTTTATCAAAATAAAAGTCTTGTGTTTCCTCAGGAGACAAAGAAAAGACAACGTGCAGATGCAGCATTGCTACTGGAGGGGGGGGGGGGGAGGGGGGGGGGCTCAGGTAAAAATAAAAAGGGTGGGAATGAGGTCCAAATGAAAAGTGACAGAAACAGAAACATGAATTCATCACCGGGTCACTCAGCAGGTCTATACTTACGTCCATGATGAGACACATGTGGACTCTCTGTGGGGGGTGGGGGGGGGCTCCGTCTTACCTCGGTCTGCTCTCACTCATCTACAGCTTATTAATCTTTAATGTCACTGATCTTCGGTCACTAAAGTGAGACGCTCACTGAGACCGAGACTCACTCCCACCTGCTGAACCCTGGAGAGCAGCCGCCGCAGCCGAGGGGGTCCGTCTCCATCAGCTGCTGCAGCCAGGAGGCGCTGTGGGGTGGGGGGGGGGAGAGAGGAGGTGAGGAGGAGGAGGGGGTAGCAGGTGTACATGCGTGTAAGAAGGTGAGGTGTAAACAGATCCTGCTGTCACTTCCTGTCTCCTATCAAGAGAAATGTCACTGTACGAGCACACCCCAAGAGACCCTCAAATCCAAGGAGACAATCGCATCCCCAAAGACCATCGCATCCCCAAAGACCATCGCATCTCCAAAGACCATCGCATCTCCAAAGACCATCGCATCTCCAAAGACCATCGCATCCCCAAAGACCATCGCATCTCTAAAGACCATCGCATCTCCAAAGACCATCGCATCCCCAAAGACCATCGCATCTCCAAAGACCATCGCATCTCCAAAGACCATCGCATCCCCAAAGACCATCGCATCTCCAAAGACCATCGCATCCCCAAAGACCATCGCATCTCCAAAGACCATCGCATCCCCAAAGACCATCGCATCTCCAAAGACCATCGCATCTCCAAAGACCATCGCATCCCCAAAGACCATCGCATCTCCAAAGACCATCGCATCCCCAAAGACCATCGCATCTCTAAAGACCATCCCATCCCCAAAGACTATTCCATCCCCAAAGACCATCGCATCTCCAAAGACCATCGCATCCCCAAAGACCATCGCATCTCTAAAGACCATCGCATCCCCAAAGACCATCGCATCTCTAAAGACCATCCCATCCCCAAAGACCATCGCATCTCCAAAGACCATCGCATCCCCAAAGACCATCGCATCTCTAAAGACCATCGCATCTCCAAAGACCATCGCATCTCTAAAGACCATCGCATCCCCAAAGACCATCGCATCTCTAAAGACCATCGCATCTCCAAAGACCATCGCATCTCCAAAGACCATCGCATCCCCAAAGACCATCGCATCCCCAAAGACCATCCCATCCCCAAAGACCATCGCATCCCCAAAGACCATCCCATCCCCAAAGACCATCCCATCCCCAAAGACTATTCCATCCCCAAAGACCATCGCATCCCCAAAGACCATCGCATCTCTAAAGACCATCGCATCCCCAAAGACCATCGCATCTCTAAAGACCATCACATCCCCAAAGACCATCGCATCTCTAAAGACCATCGCATCCCCAAAGACCATCGCATCTCTAAAGACCATCACATCCCCAAAGACCATCGCATCCCCAAAGACCATCCCATCCCCAAAGACCATCCCATCCCCAAAGACTATTCCATCCCCAAAGACCATCGCATCTCTAAAGACCATCGCATCCCCAAAGACCATCGCATCTCCAAAGACCATCGCATCTCCAAAGACCATCGCATCCCCAAAGACCATCGCATCCCCAAAGACCATCCCATCCCCAAAGACTATTCCATCCCCAAAGACCATCGCATCCCCAAAGACCATCGCATCTCTAAAGACCATCGCATCCCCAAAGACCATCGCATCTCTAAAGACCATCACATCCCCAAAGACCATCGCATCTCTAAAGACCATCGCATCCCCAAAGACCATCCCATCCCCAAAGACCATCGCATCCCCAAAGACCATCCCATCCCCAAAGACTATTCCATCCCCAAAGACCATCCCATCCCCAAAGACCATCGCATCCCCAAAGACCATCACATCTCTAAAGACCATCGTATCCCCAAAGACCATCGCATCCCCAAAGTCCATCGCATCCCCAAAGACCATCCCATCCCCAAAGACTATTCCATCCCCAAAGACCATCGCATCTCTAAAGACCATCGCATCCCCAAAGACCATCCCATCCCCAAAGACCATCGCATCCCCAAAGACCATCCCATCCCCAAAGACTATTCCATCCCCAAAGACCATCGCATCTCTAAAGACCATCGCATCTCTAAAGACCATCGCATCTCTAAAGACCATCGCATCCCCAAAGACCATCGCATCTCTAAAGACCATCGCATCCCCAAAGACCCTCGCATCCCCAAAGACTATTCCATCTCTAAAGACTATTCCATCCCCAAAGACCATCGCATCTCTAAAGACCCTCGCATCTCTAAAGACCCTTGCATTCCATAAGGCCATCCCATCACCAGTGACCCTTGCATCTCTGAAAACCATCGCATCTCTGAAAACCATCGCATCTCTAAAGACCATTCCATCTCTAAAGACCCTCGCATCCCTGAAGACCCTCGCATCCCTGAAGACCATTGCATCCCTGAAGACCATCGCATCCCCAAAGACCCTCGCATCCACATAGACCATCGCATCCCTGAAGACTATTCCATCCCCAAAGACCCTCGCATCCCCAAAGACCAGCGCTTACCTATAAACTTTTGAGACAATTAACGTTTGGTTTAAAACATTCTCAACATGCGACTCGAATGAGACACAGGAAGTGAGTCAGTGTGTGTGTGTCAGTGTGTGTGTGAGTCAGTGTGTGTGCGTGTGTCAGTGTGTGTGTGTCAGTGTGTGTGTGTCAGTGTGTGTGTGTCAGTGTGTGTGTGAGTCAGTGTGTGAGTGTCAGTGTGTGTGTGTCAGTGTGTGTGTGTCAGTGTGTGTGTGTCAGTGTGTGTGTGAGTCAGTGTGTGTGAGTCAGTGTGTGTGAGTCAGTGTGTGTGTGAGTCAGTGTGTGTGAGTCAGTGTGTGTGTGTGTCAGTGTGTGTGTCAGTGTGTGTGTGTGTCAGTGTGTGTGTGAGTCAGTGTGTGTGTGAGTCAGTGTGTGTGAGTCAGTGTGTGTGTGTGTCAGTGCGTGTGTGTGTCAGTGTGTGTGAGTCAGTGTGTGTGTGAGTCAGTGCGTGTGTGTGTCAGTGTGTGTGAGTCAGTGTGTGTGTGAGTCAGTGTGTGTGTGTGTCAGTGCGTGTGTGTGTCAGTGTGTGTGAGTCAGTGTGTGTGTGAGTCAGTGCGTGTGTGTGTCAGTGTGTGTGAGTCAGTGTGTGTGTGAGTCAGTGCGTGTGTGTGTCAGTGTGTGTGTGAGTCAGTGTGTGTGAGTCAGTGTGTGTGTGAGTCAGTGTGTGTGAGTCAGTGTGTGTGTGAGTCAGTGTGTGTGTGAGTCAGTGTGTGTGAGTCAGTGTGTGTGTGTGTCAGTGTGTGTGTGAGTCAGTGTGTGTGTGAGTCAGTGTGTGTGAGTCAGTGTGTGTGTGTCAGTGTGTGTGTGAGTCAGTGTGTGTGTGAGTCAGTGTGTGTGTGAGTCAGTGTGTGTGTGAGTCAGTGTGTGTGAGTCAGTGTGTGTGTGTCAGTGTGTGTGTGAGTCAGTGTGTGTGTGAGTCAGTGTGTGTGTGAGTCAGTGTGTGTGTGAGTCAGTGTGTGTGTGAGTCAGTGTGTGTGTGTGTCAGTGTGTGTGTGAGTCAGTGTGTGTGTGAGTCAGTGTGTGTGTGAGTCAGTGTGTGTGTGTGTCAGTGTGTGTGTGAGTCAGTGTGTGTGTGTGTCAGTGTGTGTGTGAGTCAGTGTGTGTGTGTGTCAGTGTGTGTGTGAGTCAGTGTGTGTGTGAGTCAGTGTGTGTGAGTCAGTGTGTGTGTGTGTCAGTGTGTGTGTGAGTCAGTGTGTGTGTGAGTCAGTGTGTGTGTGAGTCAGTGTGTGTGTGTGTCAGTGTGTGTGTGAGTCAGTGTGTGTGTGAGTCAGTGTGTGTGTGTCAGTGTGTGTGTGTGTCAGTGTGTGTTTACATCTTTCCACAGCTCAGCACACAGAGGAAGGTTGGTCAGAGCTTGATGATACAGACGTCGCACCTGGAAGAGAAATACAGTGACATAAAGAGGAAGGAGGAGAAACAGCAAAAACAAAAAACAAAGTGAGAGGTTAATAAACCAACAAACAACAAACTGTCAATCAAGAAGCCTGTGGGGAGGAAACCAGAGTCAGGCGCTCTGCAGAGGGTCCTCCGTCCCTCCAGGACCTGTAGGACCCTGAGGCAGTTCATTTAAATGAAACCATTAATGGACCTGACCATTGTGATTGGTCTCCTTGTACATGGAGGTCCTGGCCTAATGGGTTGCTCTCACCTATCAGGACCACATCCCCTCAGTCCTCCACCACCCTCTGAACTTAGCACATTGTACACAAAGCTACTTCTTAATATCTGCACAGCTCTCCACTTCTCATACTAATACTGCACATATTTTATTATCAAAGTATTTTGTCATATTATACTGTTCTTAGTTTTTGGGTATATAGTTATATATTTGAATAAAAGGTCCTTCAGAGCGTCTCTCCATCCCTGACTCACCTCAGAAGTTTGCTTCAGCTCCTTCTCCACAGCTAGCGCTCTGAGAGAAACACAGATGCAGTCAGGAAACACACCTCAGAGGGTTATTGATCTCACACACACACACATATATTTTTAGGAGCTGCTTCATGAATACTTTAAGATTATGCAGTGAAACAAACCAAACATGGTTGATTCCCACCCATGAATAGAGGATTAACAGCTATGTACACCCCAGTAGTGGAGCTAAGGATTATAAAACTACATTTCTACTTGTTTCCTCTGCAGTGTGAAGGCCTTCATTGGTTGGGTTCAGAACATCCCGGCTCCTTGATTTAAGCTTTGGTTTCTCATGGTCCGTGCTGGGTGTCACTCACATGTTCCAGTAGGCGAGGCACTTGGGAGAATGGCTGCTCAGCATCCGGACCTGGAACTTCAGGTGCTCCATGTTTCCATCCTGCCACTCCTGATGCAGCAACCTGAGCATCAACACAGCAACTCAGGAAGCAACAAACACCACAGAGCTGGATCCCACCTCAGGTAACTAACGCCAGCTCAGAAACAACCTCAGAGAAATACGCGCACACACATCGGAGAGGGCTTCCTCTGTACAGGCTCACAGATGTGGAAACTAGGGACACGGATGCAGACTCATGCCCACATCCAGTTGTGCGATGGGTTTTTAACAAGTTACGCATCTTCCTCTATGAATCCTGATGAGCCTTTAAACATCCTACATTAGGGTTGTCCACACCCGGCCCACCAGAGGGTCCAATCCGTCCCGCGGCATGACTTTGCAAAGTGTTAAAATGACAGAATACAATCTGTGCAGTTTTTACAATTTGTATGCATTTTGTGTGTAAATGTTATAGATGAACAAGGCAGGGGGTAACCTTCCTTGATAGTTCCCTCTTTAGTTCGTATGCTGGTGAGTCACCATGACCACACAGATGTGGAAATGAGTGTAAGATCATTTCTAGAAGTAGTTTTGATCATAAAGTCCTATATTGTTCAGATCCAGACACCTGAATGTGTTTGTAGAGACTGATCTGTTGCGATGCACATGTGTAAAGATAATCTGACGCAGAAAATGTTGTCACTTATTTTTCTTAAGAAATGTGAACATGTTAAGAATGTACGTTTTTATTATGCTATGCTTTTACTGATCCGGCCCCACCTGAGATTACACTTGGCTGAACGTGGCCCCTGAACTAATATGAGTTTGACCCCCCTGTCCTAGACCTGGTACTACTGAGTGTGTGTGTGTGTGTGTGTGTGTGTGTACCTCAGACCCAGTTCAGTGTTGTTGGGCATGGCGTATCTTAGTCTCTCCAGAACAAGAGCATGCTGGGATTTCGGCAGACAGCGCAGGTAGAGCGTTACCACCTGAGAACCAATCAGCACAGAGCATTTCCATCAGGTAAAACCGTGTTGTCACGTTCAATATCCTTTCAGGATCTTTATGTTTCTAGAAACTAGTTTAAGTTGAACACGGTCCTCACAAAACAGGTGAGGTAGAACAGGTGAGATGTAGAACAGGTGAGACCTTGTTGTGGAAGGTGTAGCAGCTCCAGAACTCAGCGGGGTTGAAGGGGACACACAGGCGGGACGGGACGGTGCTGAGGCAGCGATGGATCAGATTTGAGAACCGTTTGGACCGACTGAGGGACACAGAGCTGAACTCCAGGTACCTGAAACAGGTGAGACACAAAGAGAGACAGGTGAGAGACAGGTGAGAGACAGGTGAGAGACAGGTGATACAGCTTCTCAGGTTTAACTGTTAAAATGACATAATCTAGGGGGGGGGACTCCAGAAAATCAGAAGAATGCAGAACAAGAAACAAAAACATAGGTGTTCAAGTGAGACCCCCCAGGTTTGAAATTGACCCCCCCAGGTGTGCAGGTGACCCCCCCCGGTGTGCAGGTGATCCCCCCCCAGGTTTGAAAGTGACCCCCCCCCAGGTGTGCAGGTGACCCCCCCCCGGTGTGCAGGTGATGCCCCCAGGTGTGCAGGTGACCCCCCCCCCGGTGTGCAAGTGACCCCCCAAGTGTACAGGTGACCCCCCCTGTGTGCAGGTGACCCCCCCAGGTGTACAGGTGACCCCCCCTGTGTGCAGGTGACCCCCCCTGTGTACAGGTGACCCCCCTGTGTACAGGTGACCCCCCCAGGTGTACAGGTGAACCCCCTGTGTGCAGGTGACCCCCCCTGTGTGCAGGTGACCCCCCCAGGTGTACAGGTGACCCCCCCCAGGTGTACAGGTGAACCCCCTGTGTGCAGGTGACCCCCCCTGTGTACAGGTGACCCCCCCCCCCCAGGTGACACTCACTCCATCCACAGAGTGTGCAGCTGGTCTCGCTGCAGGACGGACCCCAGCGCTCTCTCGTAGGCGTCCACAGTGTCGTCCACTGATCCGTGCAGCCGCTGCCAGCAGCTGAACATACAAAGCACATGTTAAGCACATGTTAGACACAAGGCGTGTTAAAACATGTAAACATATATTAAATAATAATAAATGAAGTGTTACCAGTGTATGAGGTGCAGGTAGGCTCTCTGCTGGCGGAGCGGCTCCTGCAGGTCTGTGATGATCGGAGCTCTCTGCAGCTCCTCGCTGGGGAAACCCAGCAGCTGTCTGCAGACAGGAAGCAGCAACTTTAACATGAACTCAGAAATCACAGTGTGTCTAGCGTTAGCATCACAGTGTGTCTAGTGTTAGCATCACAGTGTGTCTAGCGTTAGCATCACAGTGTGTCTAGCGTTAGCATCACAGTGTGTCTAGCGTTAGCATCACAGTGTGTCTAGCGTTAGCATCACAGTGTGTCTAGCGTTAGCATCACAGTGTGTCTAGCGTTAGCATCACAGTGTGTCTAGTGTTAGCATCACAGTGTATGTAGCGTTAGCGTCAGAGATAACAGGGACTAGCGTTAGCATCACAGTGTGTATAGCGTTAGCGTCAGAGATAACAGGGACTAGCGTTAGCATCACAGTGTGTGTAGCGTTAGCATCACAGTGTGTCTAGCGTTAGCATCACAGTGTGTCTAGCGTTAGCATCACAGTGTGTCTAGTGTTAGCATCACAGTGTATGTAGCGTTAGCGTCAGAGATAACAGGGACTAGCGTTAGCATCACAGTGTGTGTAGCGTTAGCATCACAGTGTATGTAGCGTTAGCGTCAGAGATAACAGGGACTAGCGTTAGCATCACAGTGTATGTAGCGTTAGCGTCAGAGATAACAGGGACTAGCGTTAGCATCACAGTGTGTCTAGCGTTAGCATCACAGTGTGTCTAGTGTTAGCATTACAGTGTGTCTAGCGTTAGCATCACAGTGTGTCTAGTGTTAGCATCACAGTGTGTCTGGCGTTAGCATCACAGTGTGTCTGGTGTTAGCATCACAGTGTATTTAGCGTTAGCATCACAGTGTGTGTAGCGTTAGCATCACAGTGTGTCTGGTGTTAGCATCACAGTGTATGTAGCGTTAGCGTCAGAGATAACAGGGACTAGCGTTAGCATCACAGTGTGTGTAGCGTTAGCGTCAGAGATAACAGGGACTAGCGTTAGCATCACAGTGTGTGTAGCGTTAGCATCACAGTGTATGTAGCGTTAGCGTCAGAGATAACAGGGACTAGCGTTAGCATCACAGTGTGTGTAGCGTTAGCTTCAGAGATAACAGGGACTAGCGTTAGCATCACAGTGTGTGTAGCATTAGCATCACAGTGTATGTAGCATTAGCATCAGAGATAACAGGGACTAGCGTTAGCATCACAGTGTGTGTAGCGTTAGCATCACAGTGTATGTAGCGTTAGCGTCAGAGATAACAGGGACTAGTGTTAGCATCGCAGTGTGTGTAGCGTTAGCGTCAGAGCTAACAGGGACCATCGTACCGCAGGACGTCCACGGGCTCCCTGACGCTCTGCTGCTCCTCACACAGCGACAGCATGAAGCATCGGACCAGCGGAGCGATGGCGCTGCACCTCTCCTGGGACCACACACAACAAACATTTAAATAACGTTTCAACAACATCATAGAACATATGAACTGCTACCATCTAATGGAGATCAATAAAGACTGAAGCATCCTTTGAGCAGCTCTCACTGATCCTGCTGTGATGCAAGGAGCATTTCAGATGTGTGTGTGTGTGTGTGTGTGTGTGTGTGTGTGTGTGTGTGTGTGTACCTGTGCTCTGAGGAAGCAGCAGCAGCGGTACAGCAGCTCGGCATTGTGGGGGCTCTCTGTCAGAGCGGTCAGCCAGGTGTTGACCCCCCCCTCGGTGTCGCCCCTCAGCAGCAGCAGCTCGGACAGAGAGACTCTCAGAGGGGCGGAGTCAGGACACACCTGCAGCAGCGACTCACACAGGGCCACGCCCTCATCATACCTGCAGCAATTAGGATGGTCATTATCAGATAAATACATCATTAGACCTTGGGTCCCGAAAGGCGCTTTATAAATTCCATTTATTATTATTATTATTATTGTTTTAAAGGTCTCCTATCAGCTGTTTTCATATATTACAGATAATAATAAAAACATGTCTCTGAAGTGTCCTGCTCCAAACCCCAAACAGATCCTTGTAGCCCCCCCCCCCTCTCTTCCAGCTGTTACTAAGGACATGTCTCTGAAGTGTCCTGCTCCAAACCCCAAACAGATCCTTGTAGCCCCCCCCCCCCCTCTCTTCCAGCTGTTACTAAGGACATGTCTCTGAAGTGTCCTGCTCCAAACCCCAAACAGATCCTTGTAGCCCCCCCCCCCTCTCTTCCAGCTGTTACTAAGGACATGTCTCTGAAGTGTCCTGCTCCAAACCCCAAACAGATTCTTGTAGCCCCCCCCCCCTCTCTCTTCCAGCTGTTACTAAGGACATGTCTCTGAAGTGTCCTGCTCCAAACCCCAAACAGATTCTTGTAGCCCCCCCCCCTCTCTCTTCCAGCTGTTACTAAGGACATGTCTCTGAAGTGTCCTGCTCCTAACCCCAAACAGATCCTTGTAGCCCCCCCCCCTCCTCTCTTCCAGCTGTTACTAAGGACATGTCTCTGAAGTGTCCTGCTCCTAACCCCAAACAGATCCTTGTAGCCCCCCCCCTCTCTTCCAGCTGTTACTAAGGACATGTCTCTGAAGTGTCCTGCTCCAAACCCCAAACAGATCCTTGTAGCCCCCCCCCCCTCTCTTCCAGCTGTTACTAAGGACATGTCTCTGAAGTGTCCTGCTCCTAACCCCAAACAGATCCTTGTAGCCCCCCCCTCTCTCTTCCAGCTGTTACTAAGGACATGTCTCTGAAGTGTCCTGCTCCAAACCCCAAACAGATCCTTGTAGCCCCCCCCCCCTCTCTTCCAGCTGTTACTAAGGACATGTCTCTGAAGTGTCCTGCTCCAAACCCCAAACAGATCCTTGTAGCCCCCCCCCCTCTCTTCCAGCTGTTACTAAGGACATGTCTCTGAAGTGTCCTGCTCCAAACCCCAAACAGATCCTTGTAGCCCCCCCCCCTCTCTTCCAGCTGTTACTAAGGACAGACATGTCTCTGAAGTGTCCTGCTCCAGACCCCAAACAGATCCTTGTAGCCCCCCCCCCTCTCTTTCAGCTGTTACTAAGGACAGACATGTCTCTGAAGTGTCCTGCTCCAAACCCCAAACAGATCCTTGTAGCCCCCCCCCCCCTCTCTCCCAGCTGTTACTAAGGACATGTCTCTGAAGTGTCCTGCTCCAAACCCCAAACAGATCCTTGTAGCCCCCCCCCCTCTCTTCCAGCTGTTACTAAGGACATGTCTCTGAAGTGTCCTGCTCCAAACCCCAAACAGATCCTTGTAGCCCCCCCCTCTCTCTCTTCCAGCTGTTACTAAGGACATGTCTCTGAAGTGTCCTGCTCCAAACCCCAAACAGATCCTTGTAGCCCCCCCCCCCCCCCTCTCTTCCAGCTGTTACTAAGGGCATGTCTCTGAAGTGTCCTGCTCCAAACCCCAAACAGATCCTTGTAGCCCCCCCCCCCCTCTCTTCCAGCTGTTACTAAGGACATGTCTCTGAAGTGTCCTGCTCCAAACCCCAAACAGATCCTTGTAGCCCCCCCCCCCTCTCTTCCAGCTGTTACTAAGGACATGTCTCTGAAGTGTCCTGCTCCTAACCCCAAACAGATCCTTGTAGCCCCCCCCCCCTCTCTTCCAGCTGTTACTAAGGACATGTCTCTGAAGTGTCCTGCTCCAAACCCCAAACAGATCCTTGTAGCCCCCCCCCTCTCTTCCAGCTGTTACTAAGGACATGTCTCTGAAGTTTCCTGCTCCAAACCCCAAACAGATCCTTGTAGCCCCCCCCTCTCTTCCAGCTGTTACTAAGGACATGTCTCTGAAGTGTCCTGCTCCAAACCCCAAACAGATCCTTGTAGCCCCCCCCCCCCCCTCTCTTCCAGCTGTTACTAAGGACATGTCTCTGAAGTGTCCTGCTCCAAACCCCAAACAGATCCTTGTAGCCCCCCCCCCCCCCTCTCTCCCAGCTGTTACTAAGGACATGTCTCTGAAGTGTCCTGCTCCAAACCCCAAACAGATCCTTGTAGCCCCCCCCCCTCTCTTCCAGCTGTTACTAAGGACATGTCTCTGAAGTGTCCTGCTCCAAACCCCAAACAGATCCTTGTAGCCCCCCCCCCCCTCTCTTCCAGCTGTTACTAAGGACAGACATGTCTCTGAAGTGTCCTGCTCCAAACCCCAAACAGATCCTTGTAGCCCCCCCCTCTCTCTCTTCCAGCTGTTACTAAGGACATGTCTCTGAAGTGTCCTGCTCCAAACCCCAAACAGATCCTTGTAGCCCCCCCCCTCTCTCTCTTCCAGCTGTTACTAAGGACATGTCTCTGAAGTGTCCTGCTCCAAACCCCCAACAGATCCTTGTAGCCCCCCCCCTCTCTCTCTTCCAGCTGTTACTAAGGACATGTCTCTGAAGTGTCCTGCTCCAAACCCCAAACAGATCCTTGTAGCCCCCCCCCTCTCTCTCTTCCAGCTGTTACTAAGGACATGTCTCTGAAGTGTCCTGCTCCAAACCCCAAACAGATCCTTGTAGCCCCCCCCTCTCTCTCTTCCAGCTGTTACTAAGGACATGTCTCTGAAGTGTCCTGCTCCAAACCCCAAACAGATCCTTGTTATCTTAACTTATCTGGTGCCCTCATTGGTCATGTGCGCGTTCGTGTGTGTTGGAGGAGGGGCTCTGTGAGGAAGTGGCAGATTTTCTCCGGTTGTGTATTTTCAAATTCTAGCGATCTCGAGCCGGTTTCTCAAACTTACCTACCCCACCTTTAAGTTGTGAGTTTAGTGTTTTTGACCCTAAGAAACACTGATGCATTAATCAATAACAATAATCCACAGCTCCCCTCTCTGCTCCAGAGGATTTAAAAAAAAAATATCCCAATGCCACCCCCCCTCCCCGCTCAGGCAGCACCCCCCCTAAGCAGTAAACCTAGGGGAAACAGCATGGAGCTCAAACTCTTTCTCAGGTTTACCACAGGGTGACTTCCTTTTGATTTCCTGCTTCTTCACACATACTCTCTCCAGTACAGGTTAGCTCTGAGTGTTAGCATGCTAATGTAAACACAGACCATATAGAGTGGCGAAGTCACGCCCATCTACTTCCGCCCCATGGGACCTTATTTCGGAAAAATTATGCATTGAAGTCAATGGGGAGAGAAAACTTATCTTTCGATCCTGTTTGAATTGTGCCATGAATTACACATATGATGTTTGTCAATCTTAAAAAATCATTTCCATGTCAAAAAAGTCACAGTTTGTCGTAAAACTGTTGAAATATAAGACTATGAAAAATACGCAACTAGAAAGACTACAAATCCCAGAGTCGCGTAAGTGATGTCACAATTGTTTTCCTCCACAAAGAGATAGCTAAGATCAGCGCCATATAGATATAATCTATCTATATGGCGCTGGCTAAGATAAGATAACTTTAACAAGATGCCTGTGTGCTTAGTACCAGGTTGTTATCATACCAGCAATGGGTCTTGCTCGTTCTTTCGCTTCCCGTCTGATGAAAGGACCAGGAGTACTCTGGATCATGCTAGCTAGTAGCTAGCACGTTAGTTTGCATTACAGCCTTGTCATTTTTATTAGCCTTAACATGAAGTAACATTAAGTAACCCAAAATGTTAAACAGTAAGAGTAGTAGTCATATTTCGTGAACCCTTTGAATAGTACTGTCACCGGTGTGATCATTCTATAATACACCATTTAAGCCCGGGAGAGAAAAGCTAACGCTAACGCTAACACTAGCGATCTTCTCTACTTCATGCTATCTGCACAAATGGTTGACATTAAACATTAAAACGACCAGGCAGTTCAGAGAGAATCAAAGGAAGGCAGGCAGGCAGCTTTGCATGACTTTCTTCAGGACGTGTTTCATTGTGGTGATAGTGAGGGTAGTCAATCGTTTTGTTGACAAGACAGTAGTGACGGCCATCTTGGTGACGTGTGAGACCAGAGATGTAGTTCATTGAGCGTTTCACACAAACAAATGTGTTACTTCACAGTTTTACCACACATTTTATTTTTTTTGACTTGCAAAATGATCTTTTAAATTGACAAACATCATATGTGTAATTCATGGCACAATTCAAACGGGATCGAAAGATAATCTTTCTCTCTGCATTGACTTCAATACATAATTTTTCCGAAATAAGGTCCCATGGAGGTCCACCGGAAGGGGAGGGACTTCGCCACTCTATTACGTCCAGAACACGTCTCATTGTTTCTGACAGCAACGTTTCTGATTGGCCCGTGGGTGTAAAGCCCGCCCACATTTTAGTCATGTGGTCATGATGCAGCAAATCTGGATCAGCTCCGTTGTCCCCCCCGTTTTTAGAGATGTGTGTACGGAGGAAAAGAGAGAGGGGTTTATTTCCTGACACTTTGAGAGTCTCCTGACACACGGGGGACACACGGGGGACACACGGGGGACACACGGGGGACACACGGGGGACACACGGGGGACACACCGGGGACACACGGGGGACACACGGGGGACACACGGGGGACACACCGGGGACACACGGGGGACACACACCGGGACACACACGGGGGACACACCGGGACACACACCGGGACACACACGGGGGACACACGGGGGACACACCGGGGACACACCGGGGACACACACCGGGACACACACCGGGACACACCGGGGACACACGGGGGACACACGGGGGACACACGGGGGACACACGGGGGACACACACCGGGACACACACGGGACACACCGGGGACACACGGGGGACACACGGGGACACACCGGGGACACACGGGGGACACACCGGGGACACACGGGGGACACACGGGGGACACACGGGGGACACACGGGGGACACACGGGGGACCACAGACCCGGGGACACACGGGGGACACACCGGGGACACACCGGGGACACACACCGGGACACACACCGGGACACACACCGGGGACACACGGGGGACACACGGGGGACACACGGGGGACACACGGGGGACACACCGGGGACACACGGGGACACACAGCGGGACACACACCGGGACAACACCGGGACACACAGGGGGACACACGGGGGACACACGGGGGACACACCCGGGGGACCAAGGGGGACACACCGGGGGACACGGGGGACACACGGGGGACACACGGGGGACACACGGGGGACACACGGGGGACACACGGGGGACACACCGGGGACACACGGGGGACACACGGGGGACACACGGGGGACACACGGGGGACACACGGGGGACACACGGGGGACACACCGGGGACACACCGGGGACACACGGGGGACACACCGGGGACACACCGGGGACACACGGGGGACACACCGGGGACACACCGGGGGACACACGGGGGACACACCGGGGACACACGGGGGACACACGGGGGACACACGGGGGACACACGGGGGACACACCGGGGACACACAGGGGACACATGTTGATGTAGAGAAGACATCAGAGTGTGACTTCTGCATGATAGGAGACCTTTAAATAGAAATAACAATGCTAACAGTACCTCTCCAGGAGGCGGTAGAGGAACAGGAGGTTGTTGTGCAGAGGAAGGCAGGCGAGCGTCCTCTCGCTGACGGACAGACGCTCGTCACAGCACTGCAGCACGCCGTCTGACAGGAAGCACAAACACTCACTCATTTATTACATCTGCACACAATGTGTCTTCACAGCTCTCCTTAAGCTAGCTAGTGTGTGTGTGTGTACCCTGGAACAGCTGGATCAGGGTGTGTGTGGGCGTCCTGATGTCCCGAGGCGTCCTCCAGGGCATCAGGAAGCTCTCGGTGCTGACCAGCCGCCCCGGCCCGGACTCAGCGGGCAAGAAGAGGCTCGGCAGCCGGCTGAACTCCGTCAGGTGGACGAAGCAGAGCCAGAGCAGAGCGCGGTGCGAGGGGGAGAGGTGGTCCAACAGGCTGCGGAGCTGAGGGGCCTTCAGAGCGCCCTACACACACACACACATTTAGATGAATACTCGATTTTGATTGTTCAATTTGGACATTTCAGAGGTTGTTAATCTGTGCGTGTGTGCATGCGTCCTCACCTGCAGCAGAGCCAGCGCGCTTCCCCCCCGCCCGCTGAACAGATGCAGCTGCACCCGATACAGCAACGCCTCCATCAGCTGGAAGGAGCCTCTGTCAGAGGAGGGGGAGGAGCCTCTGTCAGAGGAGGGGGGCGCCTCCATCAGCTGGGAGGAGTCTCTGTCAGAAGAGGGGGAGGAGCCTCTGTCATAGGAGGGGGGCGCCTCCATCAGCTGGGAGGAGTCTCTGTCAGATGAGGGGGAGGAGCCTCTGTCAGAGGAGGGGGGCGCCTCCATCAGCTGGGAGGATTCTCTGTCAGATGAGGGGGAGGAGCCTCTGTCAGAGGAGGGGGGCGCCTCCATCAGCTGGGAGGATTCTCTGTCAGATGAGGGGGAGGAGCCTCTGTCAGAGGAGGGGGGCGCCTCCATCAGCTGGGAGGAGCAGGGGGGCGCCTCCATCAGCTGGGATGAGGAGGGGGGCGCCTCCATCAGCTGGGATGAGGAGGGGGGCGCCTCCATCAGCTGGGAGGAGGAGGGGGGCGCCTCCATCAGCTGGGATGAGGAGGGGGGCGCCTCCATCAGCAGGAACTGAAGGAGGCGCTCACACACAAAGTCTTTCCCCTCAAACGACCCCTCCAGCTGCAGGTACTGAAACAGGAGGAGACAAAGTTTATACATCGGAAACACCATCAGAGAAGTTAGTAGAAGTGGGAGGGCAGACAGCATGTCCTATACAGAGGGAGCCCTCCCGTAAAGAGTCAACGAGCCAACGAGCCAACGAGCCAACGAGTCAACGAGTCATTGAGTCAATGAGTCAATGACTCAAAGAGTCTCTCTGGTGCTCACCTCCCACCACACCCTGTAGTGCGGCGCGTGCTCCACGGCCATCTCACACATCTGCTGCAGCTCGTCCCTGCTGCCCCTCCTGGAGAACAGGCTCAGGTAGTGGCTCCACACCTCGGGGTCCCCGCAGTTACTCTCCAGGGCCCGGGACAGCGTGTTGAGGGCGGCCTCCAGACCCTCCGCTGCACACCTGGAGGGACACACACAGGACCACAAAGCACCTCTTTAGTCCTGAACACAGGGTGTGATCCGCTTCCATCAGATCACAGAAACAGGGTCTGAAGCTCTCTGTGCTCCAGACCAACCCATCATTAAATACAGACACAAATAATTGTGAGTGAGTGTGTGTGTGTGTATGTGTATGTGTATGTGTGTGTGTGTGTGTGTGTGTGTGTGTATACGTGTGTGTGTATACATGTGTGTGTGTGTGTGTGTGTGTGTGTGTGTGTGTGTGTGTATACATGTGTATGTGCGTGTGCGTGTGCGTGTGTGTGTGTGTGTGTGTACTCACGCCTCGCTCTGCTGCAGGTACTTGAAGGCCAGTTTGATCCACAGCTGGGTGTCTCTGGGGCTCTGCAGGACGCTCAGCTCCAGGTTGGAGAGGTCGTCCGTCTCACTGAGGAAGTAACGCTTGTCCTCCGAGGAGACACACACGTCCAGAGACACACCGCCGGGGTCTGCACGCACACACACACACACACACACACACACACAACACACACACACAAACACACACACACACACACACACACACACACACACACACACACACACACACACACACACACACACACACACACACACACACACACACACACACACACACACACACACACACACACACACACACACACACACACACACACACACACACACACACACACACACACACACACACACACACACACACACACACACACACACACACACACACACACACACACACACACACACACACACACACACACACACACACACACACACCTCGTTATTATACAACTTCAGGTGTGGATGTAATAAGATCACTTTTTTCTGATTTACAAATCAAAATGTTAAAAATAACAACAGGTGTCCCTCCTCACCGCTCCTCCGCTCCTCACCGTGCCTCCCCCCCCTCCGGGGTCTCCCCCCCTGCACTCTCGTCCTCACTGTCCTCCTGGGGGGGGGCGCTGCTCTGAGCCGAGGGCCTCCAGCTCCTGGGGTCCTTACAGGTGGTGAAGGGGGGCACTGGGGGAGGGCACCAACACAACAGAGTTAGGAAGTCAATGAGTTGATGTCTCAGTTAATTGCTTCATGAGTCAAAGAGCTCAGATTTAACGATGAGGTAACGTGGGAATGAGTTCATGAGTCTTTGGGTTGTCGAGGTCTCCATATTAGGTTGAATAATTCAAACGAAAGTGAATTATAATCAAATATAATTAAATATATTCTTATATTTTTCTATAATCACAGTATATATATTTGTTAAGTTGAGTTTAAAAACATATTGTGTTTATGGGTGTCACTGATAAGAGAGGGGAGACAGTTTCTTCCCTCACAGCGGTGCACAGGGGGGGGGGGCTCCTGACTTGTTGGAGAAACACTGAGGCCCCAAAAAGGTGTTTATGCTATAGCCCAGAATAATATTTTGCGTGCTGCACATCAGAGGCCACGCCCAGTTTCCACAAATACGGGTCTGGAGGAGTCTTTAGGGTTTCTGTCCTGAGCATGAAAACACTAGCAGGGAGGGAGCAAACTGGAGAGAGAGGGGAGCTCCCCTGGAAGCTCTCTCCCTGGAGAGCTGGGTTTTCCCTCGGTAAGGTTCTCTCAAACTTGGTAAATATCTCTCGAATTGATTTGTTGAATGCTGAGTGACTTGATTTGTTGAATGCTGAGTGACTTGATTTGTTGAATGCTGAGTGACTTGATTTGTTGAATGCTGAGTGACTTGATTTGTTGAATGCTGAGTGAATTGATTTGTTGAATGCTGAGTGAATTGATTTGTTGAATGCTGAGTGACTTGTTTGATGAATTGTTTGTTGAATGTTTATAACCCAGCCACCTATGAGGACGTTCCTCTGAATTCATGCTGGACATAGGTGTGTATAAGAATTGATTTGTTGAATGAAAGTTTGACTGTCCTTTTTATTATCACCATCATTATGAGGAGATGCCTCTAAATTCTGTCGGACGATTTTAAATGTCACGACTGAATTGGGCAGTTGAAGTTTGGGTACTCTCACATTAGAACCACAGCATGATATGTTTTGCAGGATTGTCATGTTGTAAAGAGAGAAGGTAAAACCCTGAACAAGTGGACCAATTTTCTTCAAATAAACTGATCCCACCTTTTGGATTGAGACAACTTAAAAGACATCTGCGCTCTCCTCTCCTGCTTCAAAGGTGAGATCGCACCCTGCCACACTCACACTTAGGTAGAGCCACACCTCATTTACTGATATCAGAATCCTTCAGGATCGCTTCAACAGATTTAGCGGGTTGTCTGCATTGAAACAGCAGTTCATTGAACCTGGTTCTTCAGGAGTTAATAGAGGTGAGATCTTGCTGGCGTTGGTGGATCTGAGCCAAGCAGTAAACTTACAGAGACTCAATAACTTCTGTTAGGTCCATTAGGAGGTCTGAGTCCTTTGCCGGAATAAATGAACAGGCCTCCCGACTCTCACGGGGTTAATGAGTGACTGAGTGTCTCACCGTGGCGCCGGCTCTCGTTCACTTTGCTGACGAGCAGCACCGCCTTCTGATCCAAAGACATCCGGACCGAGTTAGAACCAAACAGCTGCTGCATGTACCTCTCTGTGAGAACACACACACTCATGAGAAACACTGTGGGGGTGTGTGTGTGTGTGTGTGTGTGTGTGTGTGTCAATCAATATATACAAAATAACAGTCACTTCAATATCTTTGGGATATGTGTGTGTGCGCGCGTGTGTGTGTGTGTGTGTGTGTGTATGTGTATGTGTATGTGTATGTGTGTGTGTGTGTGTGTGTGTGTGTGTGTGTGTGTGTGTGTACCTGTGCATGCACTGATGTCCTTGTCTGAGCTGGTCTCTGAGCAGCCAATCAGAGAGAGGTTGTAGGACAGGAAGTCCTGCAGCAGCTGGTTTCCTGTCAGTGTGCAGTCCCTCATGTGCTGCCTGTTAGCAAACATTCACCATTTCATGTACAGCTGATCAAATATATATAAAACACAAAGCATGTATTCCACATAACATAATGAATGTAATATATGTGACTATAACGACCGCTCACCATCTGCAGAGGTCATCGTTGCAGGTCCCGCTCAGCTCGAAGCGGCAGAAGTTCCTCCTCGGGTCCATGCAGTTGCTGTAGGTCACGGAGCTCAGAGGAAGCTTCTCCTTCGTCCGGAAGTAAGGGCTGAACCTGGGGGGGGGGGGGGGATACACCCGTTACTCCATCACTACACATCATAGAGTATCATACGATACAACGGAGATTCAATGACATACTGTAATCAAACACAACAGATCATCTGAAGCTAATAATGATATATTGAGCAGTGTAGCGTACCTGTAGGACCTGAAGACCAGCAGAGGGCTGTGATAGGCTGTGTAGGGGACAGGCTTCAGATCCCCGCTCCCTGATTGGCTGGTGGCTGCATCAATCTCCACGGAAACCACCTGCACACATCATGTGACTCACGTTAGTCAAAAGGGGAGGGGCTTCATAAGGTAACAGTCACAACATTAGAGAGTAAGTTAAATATGATATGGCTGTGCAGCGCTATGAGAGACAAAGCAGCACTTCAGACAGCATGCGGAGCTGAACTCGTGTTGCGTCTCCTCAGAGTGTACAGCGTGGTGCAATAGAATGTTTGGAGATGTGCAAGTATTACAAATCAAATAGAAATAGTGTTTGTGTGTGTGAAGGTGTGTGTGTGTGTGTGTGTGTGTGTGTGTGTGTGTGTGTGTGTGTGTGTGTGTGTGTGTGTGTGTGTGTGTGTGTGTGTGTGTGTGTCACCTGAGGCCTGTACTACGAAGCCAGTTCAACCTAACCTGGATATGTTTGAGTTATCCGGTTGGCCTAATCCAAAACATACGCGCTCTCGCTAAACGGTCCTACGACGCTGGTTATCAAGTGGATCGCTCAAGCCAGCCGTGTCCTATAGTTAGGTGCGCGTTCACATGAAAGGGGTGGTATCTGGAGCATTCGACCAATCACAAACACGGACAAGCGTACTGACAGCGCAGCGTCATACTTCCTGAATGAAAAGTGAACTTTAATATTAGTCAAATATGAAGAAGTTAAACTTTAAACATCCATGACTTAAACACTTTATCCAGGATCAAAGCCACATAGCTGCACCTGCAAGGTGAATACAGCTGGTAACAGAGAAAGTGTTTGAATGCGTACATTAACAGGTTTATGATATCACTGCCCCGTCTAAGACACGATCTGACTTTCATTACATTTGACTCCAGTGTTTCGTCAACTTAATGTGTTGCTTAAAATAATACTTCTGCATACAGTATGTGACACTGTGAGTGTTGCACGGCCAGATACGGCTCAGCTGACTCAGATAAGGAAATATGATACATTATGATGTGATATGATATGAATGATAATGGGACACATCTACGTCTGCACTCACAGTGCCGCGGACTGTACGTAATGTTACTCTGATCCTGTTACTTATGTCGTGGCAGATATTTAAGTAAGCTTTCTTAACGCTAATGTTATAATAGTCAGATTGCTCTGAAGATGGGAGGGGATATTCTATTAATGTTCACGTTCACACAGTCAGCTGATTTTTGCCGGCCGTCTTTCCTGCAACGGCAGTTTTTCTGTATTTCCTCTATCCTGTAATATGACTTGATCGCTTTAAACTCCGCACACTGAGCTCTGATTGGTCAGCAGGCGGTGAGCTCTGATTGGTCAGCAGGCGGTGCTTTCACTGAGTTGATCTCTTAGCCTGCAACCTAACCTGCTCCGGAGCAGGTTAGCCGCTCAGCATCAGTTACCATGGAGATCTAGCCCGCTAAAAAGAGAACCAGCGTCGTAGGACCGGAAACCCAGAGTTTACCTGAAGTCAGCTCAGAGAACATCCGGCTTCGTAGTGCAGGCCTCTGGTGTGTGAGGGTTTGTTTGGTGTTCTCACCTGTGCAGTGGGGGAGGGGGAGTGGACGCCTCCCCCCAGGAGGAGCATCTCTCTCTGCAGCAGCTCCCCGAGGCCCCCCGGCCCCCCCCCCTGCTGAAGAGCCTCCAGGGGAAGCCCACCCAACACCTCTGTCCTGGGGGGGGGTACAAGGGGGAGGGGCTTGTTGTTGTCTTTGGGGGAGCCTTGCTGCTCCAGGTGGGGTCTGGTGAAGGAGCTGCTGGACCGACAGAGGGACGGGCGGCGACCCCCCTCCCTCACAGAAGCAGAGACGGGGCCCCCCTCCCCTAAAGAAACAGAGACTTGGGGGTCCTCCGCCTCCTCCTCGCTGTCCAGAATCAGTTTATCCTGGGTGAGGTCATGTAGGGAGGGTTGTGAAAGGGGGAGGGTGGAGGGGGAGGGAGTTGGGAGGGTCAGATTTGAGACGGGGGGCAGCTCTGAGACGGGGGGGTTAGATCTGAGCGCCTGCCGGTCCTTCAGCTGCTGGATCTTCAGAGCGTACTCGCGCTCCAGCAGCTGGAGGCGCTGCTTCTGAGCCAGCAGCTCTGCAAAGTGACCCCCCGCGGTGCGGAGAGCAGGGTCCAACCGCCGCTGCTTCATCGGCTGGAGGGAGGGGGCACATATTAAACATTATTGTTAGAAAACTCTCCCTGGTCCCCGGCTGGAGCTTCAATCTCAGGATCCATGTATTTCTGATCCTCTCAAGAATGGAAGTAGTCATCACATAGTCATCTCAAAAATTCTGACTTTTCTCAAAATCTCTAAAATTCTGACTTTTCCCTCAAAATTCTGACTTTTTCTCAAAATCAAAAAATTCTGACTTTTTCTCAAAATCTAAAAATTCTGACTTTTTCTGAAAATTCTGACTTTTTCTAAAACAATCTCAAAATGCTGACTTTCTAAAAATCTCAAAATTCTGACTTTTACCTCAAATCTCAAAATTCTGAATACCTAAAAATGTTAATAATAATGTGTGTGTGTGTGTATCAGTGTGACAGGTGGGGTTCCTCACCTGGCTGTGGATGGTGTCTGCTCTGCGTTTAGCTCCGCCCCCTGCAGCCTGCTGCGCCGCAGACAGCTGCAGCTGCAGCCGCTCACACACAGTCTGCTTCAGAGAGACGCGCTGCTCCACCCGCTGCACCTACACACACACACACACACACACACACACACACACACACACGAGAGAAATACAATCAACATTTATTATAGCCCCAAATCACAAGAAATGCCTCAAAGGGCTGTTGAGAAAATACTGAATGTCTCTCAACATGAGAGTAGCATGCTAACAAAGGCATCCCAACTGTATCTGTGAACATGACAGGATGTATGATTACCTAGAAGAGCATCAGGACTGTTTGAGGCATATGATAGCTATGTGATTAACATGATGATTCAGCATGTGTGTGTGTGTGTGTGTGTGTGTGTGTGTGTGTGTGGTGCAGACCTGCTCCTGCAGCTTCTTCAGCAGCGTCCTATTGGCCGTCACCACCTTCTCTGCGGCCTGCAGCTGCTCTCTGACTCTCAGCACCTTCCCCTCCGCTGCCTTCAGAGACTCCCTCTTCTTCTGCTCCTGCTGCAGGAGGTGCCTCAGCACAGCCTCGTCCCTCTGCTGCAGCTCCCTGACACACACACACACACACACACACACACACACACACACACACACACACACACACACACACACACACACACACACACACACACACACACACACACACACACACCACACACACACACACACACACACACACACACACACACACACACACACACACACACACACACACACACACACCACACACACACACACACACACACACACACACACACACACACACACACACACCACACAATCACACACACACACAACACACACACACACACACACACACACACACACACACACACACACACACACCACACACACACACACACACACACGTATTACAAAACAATAATGCAGTGCTACCTGTGTCTGCTGAGTCTCTCTGAGTCTCCTCTCTGAGTCTCCTCTCTGAGTCTCTCCGAGTCTCCTCTCTGAGTCTCTCTGAGTCTCCTCTCTGAGTCTCTCTGAGTCTCCTCTCCGAGTCTCCTCTCTGAGTCTCTCTGAGTCTCCTCTCTGAGTCTCTCTGAGTCTCCTCTCCGAGTCTCCTCTCTGAGTCTCTCTGAGTCTCCTCTCCGAGTCTCCTCTCTGAGTCTCCTCTGAGTCTCCTCTCCGAGTCTCTCTCTGAGTCTCTCCTCTCGATCTCCTCTCCGAGTCTCCTCTCCGAGTCTCCTCTCTGAGTCTCCTCTCCAAGGCGTCCTCCGAGTCTCCTCTCCGAGTCTCCTCTCCGAGTCTCCTCTCCGAGTCTCCTCTCCGAGTCGCCTTCTCCTAAGTCGTCTCTCTGAGTCTCCTCTCTGAGTCGCTCTGAGTCTCCTCTCTGAGTCTCCTCTCTGAGTCTCTCGCTGAGTGCTTCCTCTCTGAGTCTCTCTGAGTCTCCCTCTCGTGAGTCCCTCTCTGAGTCTCTCTGATGTCTCCTCTCTGAGTCTCCTCTCTGAGTCTCCTCTCTGAGTCTCTCTGAGTCTCCTCTCTGAGTCTCTCTGAGTCTCCTCTCTGAGTCTCTCTGAGTCTCTCTGAGTCTCCTCTCTGAGTCTCTCTGAGTCTCCTCTCTGAGTCTCCTCTCTGAGTCTCTCTTGAGTCTCTCTGAGTCTCCTCTCTGAGTCTCCTCTCTCTGAGTCTCTCTCGAGTCTCCTACGCGTCTCCTCTCTGAGTCTCTCTGAGTCTCCTCTCCGAGTCTCCTCTCTGAGTCTCTCTGAGTCTCCTCTCCGAGTCTCCTCTCCGAGTCTCTCTGAGTCTCCTCTCCGAGTCTCTCTGAGTCTCCTCTCCGAGTCTCCTCTCCGAGTCTCCTCTCCGAGTCTCCTCTCCGAGTCGTCTCTCTGAGTCGTCTCTCTGAGTCTCCTCTCTGAGTCTCTCTGAGTCTCCTCTCTGAGTCTCTCTGAGTCTCCTCTCTGAGTCTCTCTGAGTCTCCTCTCTGAGTCTCTCTGAGTCTCCTCTCTGAGTCTCTCTGAGTCTCCTCTCTGAGTCTCTTGAGTCTACTCTCTGAGCTCTCTGAGGTCTCTCTGAGTCTCCTCTATGAGTCCTCTGAGTCTCCTCCTGAGTCTCCTCTCTGAGTCTCTCTGAGTCTCCTCTCTGAGTCTCCTCTCTGAGTCTCTCTGAGTCTCCTCTCTGAGTCTCCTCTCTGAGTCTCCTCTCTGAGTCTCTCTGAGTCTCCTCTCTGAGTCTCCTCTCTGAGTCTCTCTGAGTCTCCTCTCTGAGTCTCCTCTCTGAGTCTCCTCTCTGAGTCTCTCTGAGTCTCTCTGAGTCTCCTCTCTGAGTCTCCTCTCTGAGTCTCCTCTCTGAGTCTCCTCTCTGAGTCTCTCTCTGAGTCTCCTCTCTGAGTCTCTTCTCTGAGTCTCCTCTCTGAGTCTCCTCTCTGAGTCTCTCTGAGTCTCTTCTCTGAGTCTCCTCTCTGAGTCTCTGAGTCTCCTCTCTGAGTCTCCTCTCTGAGTCTCTTCTCTGAGTCTCCTCTCTGAGTCTCTCTGAGTCTCCTCTCTGAGTCTCCTCTCTGAGTCTCCTCTCCTGAGTATCTGAGTCCTCTCTGAGTCTCCTCTCTGAGTCTCCTCTCTGAGTCTCTCTGAGTCTCTCTGAGTCTCCTCTCTGAGTCTCTCTGAGTCTCTCTGAGTCTCCTCTCTGAGTCTCCTCTCTGAGTCTCCTCTCTGAGTCGTCTCTCTGAGTCGTCTCTCTGAGTCGTCTCTCTGAGTCTCCTCTCTGAGTCTCCTCTCTGAGTCTCCTCTCTGAGTCTCCTCTCTGAGTCTCCTCTCTGAGTCTCTCTGAGTCTCCTCTCTGAGTCTCCTCTCTGAGTCTCCTCTCTGAGTCTCTCTGAGTCTCCTCTCTGAGTCTCCTCTCTGAGTCTCTCTGAGTCTCTCTGAGTCTCCTCTCTGAGTCTCTACTCTGAGTCTCTACTCTGAGTCTCTACTCTGAGTCTCCTCTCTGAGTCTCTCTGAGTCTCCTCTCTGAGTCTCTCTGAGTCTCCTCTCTGAGTCTCCTCTCTCTGTAACATGTTGATAATGCAGTGCTACCTGTGTCTGCTGAGTCTCTGCTCGGCCTCTCCGAGTCTCCGCTCTGCAGCCGCTCTGACGCTGGCCTCCTGAAGGGCGTCGGGGACGGGGGGGGAGGAGGGGCCGCGGGGGGGCGCCCCCAGATCCTTCAGCAGCTTCTGCTTCTCCCGGCTGCAGAGAGAGAGAGAGAGAGAGAGAGAGAGAGAGAGAGAGGGGGGGGGGG